CTTCAGCACGGTTCATCTGCGCACAGTCTGTAGCTCAACCACAGTTCAGGCACTGAACACAGACAAAATGAATGTGTCTGGTGGAGCATATCAGATCAGATCTGTATCTGTGACAAGTAGTCACCTTGTCTATGACTTTTGACTTTTCCTCTATTTGCCCTCTACCCTGGGTTTTACTGAGCTGTAGGTTTGCTAATGCCTCCGTGTGCTTTAGAAGCTGCCGTGGGATGAAGGTGGGTAGGTGAGGCAATTGGGGCTTGTGGAATAAGCGCATTAACTTAATATGTCTGAGACACCTGGCAGCATCAATGCTGGCGTTAAGTGTCCACCTTTAGTTTCCAGAATTAATCCCTCATAGAGGGAGGAGGCTGCTTTTGTACCTTTTAGACCGCTTTTCTTGAAGATGTGGTAATTGAGCTACAAAAACCCGCCAGGGTCAACAGGTTCAGGCGAATTTTTTCTTGACATAGACCAGCTGCAAGCAGGGACAAGGACATCCCAAGGACAACTGTCCGGCTGTGGTCCCGGAGGGATCAGCGCCTTCCCTGTGCTTTCAGTCACCCATCCAGGAAGCTCAGAAACCTGTATTCAAAAACAGGAAAAGAAGCAAAGAAAGAAAAGCCCCGAAAGCCTTATTCTGGGCAACGGAGTGGTAAACCTCACAGCTTCACCCTGCTTTATTCCGTGACACAAAGGGTCACACCTGGCTGCTCCATGTGAAATGCTCACATGGGAACGTTTGTGCAGGAGAGCAGAGTATAAATCAGAGTATTCATCAGCATTGCTCCCAGGTCAGCTTCATGTGTACTGAGAAATGTGGGTCTTCTCCTCTTGCAGCTCTGCTCTTAGATTGCACTTCCCCTCCTAGGAGTGCACAGGTACATTTTTTATTTTTTCCATCTCTTATTTAACATCCACTTCTAATGCTCTACTTCCTGAACTCTGAGCATCCCTAATCCCTTTCCTGTACTCCAATCTACAGTCAATTTAAAAAAACAATCAGAAGCACTGAGAGATATAAATGTAACTGTGGCTCAACCTAGCCACTGAATATTTGCTTCAGGTTTAAAGCTGGTGGTTATGACAGAGATCTCGCTATCTGGGCCAGGAGTCTCTGGTGAAAATCCGACAGTAAACATGCCACGTGAGTAAAGCATTTGACATCTGCAAGCGGGTACCATCTGTTTCTTCTTTTAAGAGTATTAGCCTCTAAGAAAGGAAAAAAGATGCATGAAACTTGGTCTGAGGTCAAAAGAGCATGAGCAAGATTAGGGTTTTGATTGCCAAGTAAAATGGTATATAGATTCACCCCCTGACACACACTGCTTTGTTTTGCAAGTGGAGCGAAGACATTTGCAATAGACAGAAAGTCATACCATCAAGTTTTGGGGGAAGTCTGGATGCAGAGGCCGTGATACAGCCCGGGCTTCTTTTCTGGACTAGACCAAAGCCTTTTCTAAATGAGGAACCGAGTAACCTCAGAAGCCAAATGTTTTGACTCAACCTGTTGCAATTCTACTTCTGTTCCCACCTCCGACCACTCATCTCTGGGCAAGGAACAGCTCATTGCTTCCCTTTTCATGACATGCTTTGCTCCAGTAGTGACTAGTAAAGCCTGTTCATCTCCTTGGTCAGTGGATGATGGAGATGGTGTGCTCACCTCTCGTCTTGCCCACCCCTTGGCGTTGCTTCAGGCCCCGAGGTTGCCACGAGAGCTTCTGCACTGCTTGGCTCCCCTGCAATCCTCCCTGGCTCTGGCTTGTCAAGGATTTGGGACTACCTTCCCTGTCTCTGTTCTTAAATGTTACAAACCAGCAGTGTTCACAGCTTGACAAAAACTCTTTATCATTTAAAAGCTTTACATCACGTAATACTGGAGTGGTCTTGGTGTAAGATCAATGGCTGTAGGGAAGGGACCTGGTTTTGGACTCCACATTTAGTTTTGGATTTGGACTTTTATTAGCATCTATGTCATTCATTGGTACTTTCAATAATGAAACATTTCTGGTTTGCAATTTATGATTAATTGGGAATGTCATCAATCATTCACCTTACTTACAGTACTTAAAGGTTGGATAAAAAAATAGACCAGTCGTTATCTGTTGAAGGGATAGCAGAGAAAATGCAAATGGTTAGCAGTAGTAGGGTTTATAGAAACTTAAATAGCTCCTCATGTCATTTTTCTTTTAAGTGTTTTACTCCTAAGGCAGAAGAACTGAGATTCATGGCCACAACCTGTTCATGCAAACTGCTGTAAACAATCCTGGGTTATCTGACATGAGGAATGAGATAATAATGTTACTCTCCATTTAAAAAAAAAAAAAAAAGTTCTTTTTAAGAGTCTAAAGATTAGGTTATAAGATGGGCAACTAATGAAGCCTACATGCTGCTGAAAGTAATGTTTCTTTTCACCAGAAGATCTAAGGATAATGTAAATTTTCATGTTAAACGGGATAGAGAGCTTTGCTGAAGAGAGAATTACCTTAGCCACGCTGTATGCAGTAATGATACAGTACAAGAAGAAACACGGGATTATAAAAGAACAGACTCTGTGAGCTCCGATTTTAGACTGTGGGAGCAGAATCAGAACCTCCCATTAAACCAGGAAGGTGGGATTTTTTTTTTTAAAGCTCCATACAAGTCACACATTTTATGTAGCACTCGCGTATTCATTAAGCACAATGAGCAATTACAGATTAAAAGCTGCTGGTGTCTCACTTCCACCAGGCAAATGCTTTCAGGGGAGAAGAGGGAATGGATTTTGATAATGAGAGGTTTTCAGGCTGCAAGTTTAAATGGAAAGAGGCAACTCTTTACCCTGTCAACAATAACGGCACATCTGCAAGTCCCCTGCAAAGCCTCTACGCTCACAATAGATCACATCTCCTAAAGCAACTGTGTCAATGGCAGCTATTTTGCACAGTTATTCCTCTGAATCAGATGACAACTGTGGGCAGTACCATGAATACCTTGATCCACAGATCAAATAATAAAGCTCTCTGTCACTGGGGAAATTAGTTTGACTCCTGCTGTTGCTGTTTTTTTCTCCCCCATTGCAGGGTAAGACATATTCTGCCACCAGGCAGTTTGCACACTGCTTGTCTCTGCGTGGACGAAGCAGTTTAGACCTGGAGGTAGAGACTTGGCCTGAAGACTCACAGACAAGACCCACCTCCTGCCTGTCCGCAGTGACTTATTTGTCCAGCTTTGCCTGGAATTTATCTCCAGAACAGCTGTGGCTCAGAGACTATCTGAAAGATCTGGGAAGGAGGAGTAGTAAAAAAAAAAATAATATTTTTGTGCTAAGTGGAATCAGGAAAGTATTTTAGGGGGAAATTCGGTGCCAAGAAGCCTTATTAATGCTTTGTTATTTTTTCTCAGGTACTCCTAGGAAGGCCACATTGTACTTCTGCATTAAGGTACCATTATGTAAACAACAACAATGCAAATAATCAGGGCTGCATCAGGGATGACTCACAGTTCTATTACTTTGTGAGCAGCGTGACAACTCTACATGCAAATTGTTACCATCAGCCTTCTATCTGAATTTACGTGTGGCTCCCAGAGAGCTGTGGACACAGACCCTGAGCTGTGATACACCGCTGTGAGTGTAGCTGAAAACGGTCACGCATGCTGAGAGTTGTGCTATCTGCCTGAGAACTGTCTTACCCTCCAATAAAAAAATGCCAGAGCCAGTAAGAAGTGGTGTTGCACCTTTGCACTTGGATAGTGAAGGGCTGGATGTAACTGTTTATGTGAGGTTTTTTACTTATGCCTGACCTGCTTTTGCCCAGCAGCCAGGAGGGTGTTGCCTCTGAGGACTCTGCCCTGAGCCTGCCAAGCTGCCATCTGCCAGAGAGCCTAAAGCACTAACCTGAATCCAGCTGATGGTCTCATGGATAAGATCCAAAGCTCTTTACAGCCCACAGTCATTGCTCTGAATACATGCATGCAAATATTTATGGATACTCTAGATGGATATGGATTTCTAGCTCATCAGGGACATCCACAAATATTTGCATGCACATATTCAAAGCATGCAAATATTTATGAATAGCTTGAATAAGCTGGAAACCCTGAAGGCTGAGGGGATTGTAAATCCCCTGTGTCTACCTTCCACAAGCACCAGTGAGTGTGGTAATTACTCCATGGCGTGTGGTGGAGAAGAGGCAGCTCATCCCTTAGTACCAGTGCTCTGTGTGCAAGCTGGGCGCAGCGGGGCAGTGGATGGAGGTGCTGCCTGCTGAATGGCAGGAGATGCCCGCTGTCACTGGGGACAAGAAGGAGCCCCGTGCTCCCAAAGTTCACGATGTACCAACTATTGCAACGACATACATTTATCTGTTTCTAGCAGGTGATGCCACTAACATACCTTCAAACCAAAACCATGAAGCTGTTTCCCTCACTGCCCGTCATCTATGATATTTAGGTTGTAAGCTGTTCCGGGCAGCTATCACCTCATACTGTGAATGTGTTCACAGGTTTGGCTGAAAGGATTCTTGCTCTTGCTGTGGCCTTTTGCCAAATCTGCACTGGTGGCAGTGTGAAGGCAGTGTGTCCCTCTGCAGACACAGCTACACAAACAGCAAGGCTGTTGGATCTCCTTGGATCTCCAGGGCTGTAGCCCATCTCCAACCACACCAAGCAAGCCTAGTGGGGTCGGATTTCTTGGAAGGAATTTTTTATTTCAGCTTTCTACACTGTCTTTCCTGGCCCGTTGATTAACTGTGTTGACTTACTTTTGCCTCGCTGAGCAAAAGCCCTTAATGTTTTGCTGTCAGGGATCCCCAGTCAAGGGCAGTGACCTCCTGGCTCCCAGGTAAGCCGGGTGACACCTTCTGTGTGTGGGCTGTTGATCTTCTCTAACTGCTGCTGCGTCACGGTCACATTAGGCTGTCTGAGATGACAGTATGAGACCTTGTAATCCCTGCAAATTCCCCCCTCACCTGGGCCCTTTGTGTTCACGGTTTGGATTTACCGACCTTCTGTGAAGAGCTTTCAGAGGATAAAAGTGGCATTAATGGTTTGAGGGTTCCAGACCTCAGTGAAGGCATCACCTGCCTATGATCTCTAAGAGAGCCGTGCTCAGAGCCGTTAGACTGTCTGCTGGCACTCAGCATCACAGATTGTCGAGGGGCTCACTGGTACGAGGTTATACATTAGAGGAGAACTAGAAGAGAGAATTATTCTGGAATACAGGTTGCTTCCAAACTGCTCTGAATCATACCGAAATGGAGAGACCTGCCTCAGTGTTGTGCCTGAGAACGTGCTGTATACAAAACTGTAAACCACTCCATTCCGCTGAAAATCCACCTGAGCTGGGACAAGCCCATCTCTCCAGGAACTGCAGTTGCTCTCGTAGGATGATGAAGCAAAGGCGGTCAAACAGTATTAGCATGTGCACCTTGCCCATCATCCCAGAATATCCAGGCTTCCAGGACATTAAGGTTTGTATGCAAAAAATCTCTTTGCAATATATAACTACTACCTATTCTTCTGTGAGAGTAACTCCCCTACTTCCTGCTAAGTGATGCGATAGTAAGTTTTGGGCTGTGTTTTGGTATAGAAAAGCTTAACTTGAAAGACTTTTACTCTGACACAGGATGAAGATTTTTATTCATTTTAAAGTTGATTATTGATTATTATTTTTTAGACCATTTTTTAAAGGTTTGGGGTAGGAAGGAGAGACTACTTTTTAGCCACGTTTTAGTATTCTTCAATTACCTAATTTATTCCAAAAGTACAACCACTTTAGGCAGGGTCATTAGATTTGCTGGGTCCCTTCCAGACTGAAATGTGATGGAATAGCGAGAGATCAAAAAATGTGATTACTTTTCAGTTTACATGGCATGTCCAACCCTCTATTTCTCGTTTGCACTCAATGTTTTTCATTCATTACCAAGAGGCAACATGCCAAATGCTGATGATGGAGTGCCCTACTGAGACATTGCTGGGCTCTGAAACCAGATTTGTGGCTGGACTCTTAGCAAGTATCTAGACTTAATTAGCAATTGTCAAAAACTGCATGAATGATGGCGCTTTTTTTTTTTTTTTTTAATACTAAAGGCATTGTCGGGCATAATAAATGATTGCAAAATGTTCCATGATCCCGCTGTGGCTGTCATCTACATACAGTATAGTCCTTATTGATTTGAAACAGTAATATAAAACATTTCTTCCTTCAGGCTGAACTGCTAAAATTTTTCAGAAAAAAACCCACAGCGTAGTATAACTTGATGTACAGAAACCAGCTGTTGCTCCTGGTAGCTTGAGACAGGGTGGGGTGTCTTGGAATAGCGGTGAGAAAGGTGGAAATGGGAGAGCTGTAACATAAAGACACTCACTGATGTCCGTGGGGGCTGGATTAGGCCTTTGTTTGACTATTCGAGTAACTCAGGTATTAAACTGGTTGGTTAGCAAAGAGATGGGAAAGGAGGAAAAATCTCTGTACGCATCTATGATATGCTGTGGGGTAATAATACTACTAATACTAAACTTCATAGTTTCAAGATGTAGAAAAGTATTGTATGTGAAAAATGCAATACACTGCAATTCAGAGCAGTTACCTGGGAGTAAGGAAAGGGGAAAAAAGAACAAAATTTCTTAGAAGTGGGATCTGGTTTTACCATGGGAAACAGCAGCTACAGGCTAATGAGATTTGGAAAGGATAAAATGAAGTTCTGTTAATACAGACAGGTGATAGATTCTTTCAGAAAATTAGATTTTTCAGAGAGGGTACCCAGAATTGTAGCAGTACAAGAGAGTCAGTGGGAAGTACATATGCTCAGTATTGTTTAACCTCAGCCTAATGGACTTCTGTTCCAGAGAGGGATTGGTATCAAACTCCTAGGTCTTCAAGGAATTTGAGTTAAGAACTTAAACCCTTAAATACTGTATGAAGCCATATACTTAAGCTCCTTTTGCTGCTTAAGCCAGCATATTTTAATTCATATTTCCTTCTCTCGTCTGACCGCATCCTGCTTTTCCCTCCCTTCCTTTTAAATAGTTATCAAGGAATCATTCAAAAACTCCAGCCTTCAACCAACTTTTCCAGGATTTGGAAAAAGGAAAGAGCTTCTCATCACAGCTGAATACTTTTCCCAACAGAGCTCCATTAGTCCATTGTTTGGGAGGCTCTTCAAGAGGCTACCTGAAAGGCCACCCAACACCCAGCAGTGGCTTCCATGACAAGCCACTGCAAGAGTATTTCAACGAGAGGCTAATGGAGCTGAGGAACTATGAAAGTAAGAGGTCAAATAGGAAGACAAAGGGGTTTGCTGATAAGAACCAGAACACCTTCCTCAGCCGCAGAGGATCTCGGCGCAGAAGCAGTTGCAGTGCCGTGGTAACGATTGGGCACGGCAAGGAGAGTGAAGAGTCCTGCAGCTCAGCAAACCAAGACAACACAAAAGTGATCCAGAGTGACGATCAAGAGGAGACCCAGAATGTCCTGGACCTCTACAAGAGTGACTTCTTGGACATTTTGACAATGCACATCGCTGGTTCCCTAGCAACATTTGTGCAGGAAAAATGATACTAGAGCTGGTTACAACATTTCATGTAGTCCTGAAAAGCTGGAGGAATAGTTCCTGTTCAGCACCATTCTGATTTACATAGTTCATGTATGTCAGTCCACTCCGGCACAGAAATGTGCTTGTTTGTGGGAGAAAATATTCTCTCATTTTGTGTTCTTGATTAGCATTGCATATATTTGTTTTCAATTATTTTCTGCAAAGAATCAGTATAATTGAGACATAGTTGTTACTTATTTATATAGGGAGAGCAGGGTTCTAAATACATGCACATATTATTTGAATTCTTAAATTGCCTTAAAAAAAGGTGATTAGTGTCAGAGGAGCAGCTTGGTTTCCTACTGTGCAGTTTGTATTAGCTAATCACAAGAAAGACTGTTATGTTCTGCCTAGTTACTTTGCTTTTTTTAAGCCTCTTGGTATTTATTACACCTCTTTGGCCCGGCTCGTTTATGGTGATGTTTTGCACACATGCAAACAGTTGATAAGAAATGATTGTTTTTCACTCATTGCCACATGTAATCACCAGGTGGATCCTTGTAAGTGTTTGATACATGAAGAAGCAAACACAGACGTAAGTTTTACTTTTAAATATGATCGGCCACTATGGTTACATATGCAGACTCAAAAACCTTTGACTTAAAAAGCACTACAAGGGCAAAGAGGGAAAAATGCTAGATTTCAGTGAGAATGGTGGAATTATGAAAGAAGGTTCCTTCCCTCTTTCCTGCTGTAAATATGACAACAACATAGCAAATTCCTAATGTAATTTGAACTTCAAATTGTTTATTGTATTTTAGTGTTTATCGTGGTCATCTAAGTCTACAATGCCAGCTGCAGCTGAATCTTTTTATTAAGTGAAATGTCAATGTCTAATTCCACAGTACACTGACTGAATATCAGACCCAAAGCAGGGCAATTATTTTAAGCTTCCAGAAAGAACTCCTACTGCTTGTGGCATCACTGGCAATAAATTCCTCATTACAGTGTTAGTTGATGTTTGTCTCTTTGCTTTCAGACTGGTTTTCATGTGAGTTAACAAGTAAGGCTGTGCCCCTGGCTAGACCTTGTCCCTTCCAGTGCTGGTTTCTCTCCATCACTTTTATATTCTTGTTCCTCCCATTTCTTCAGCCTTGGTGAAACTTGCCCCACGCTGTGTCTTGCCCCTTCTGCAGTTCATACTTTCCCTCTTCCCAGTACTCACCTGTTTGCAGAAGTATTTCTTCTACTGCACTACCTCCTCAGCTCTTGGGCCTTGTGTTTCTGTCTTCCAGAGTGTGAGTGAATATATGTGGAGAGGAGAGGGAAGATTAAGGAATCTTTCACATCCCTTCTGCCAGTCTCCTCAGGGAACAACCAAGAGTTTCCCCCCAAAAAGGGAAATGAAACATAAGGCTCATTCCACATCCCTTCCCCAGTCGTGGGATCAACAGGATCTAAGGGAACGGAGTTGGGATACTGAGAGCTCTCAGTCCTTTGTGTGTGGGAGAAAGCTTTATATACTTAGGCTAAATTAATTTTTCAGAATTCACAATTGCCCTACTGCTGCAAACGGGGGGGAACAGCCAATTATGTGAGATTTTCCCTGAAGGAAAATATTTTTTTTAGATTTAAATGAAAGTCTGAAACACATAATGTATTAGCAGATGCCATAGAGGGGATGCATCTGGTTTTCATTGTAAATCTGCCAGAGGTTAGTTTCTCCTCTAGGAGTGAATACATAATAATAACATATTATTATGTGAGGGCATAATAATAACAGTGCATAAGGACAAGGGAACAATATTAATGGAACACAGGCAAGCTTAATTCTTTCTTTCCTTAAGCATGTGGCTTTGCACCCTTGAATGTGTGCTTTTGAAGTTTAGTTCTGCAAGTCACTTTCTACCTACAAGCTTTTTAAAAAAGGCAAACTGCTTGCCTTCCTAATCCTGAGATTGTGACCACGATCACACTGCAGTGACCCCAGACTAGCAGGTCTGGAGCATCCTGAGCCTCTCTGCAGACCTCTGCCATATAGGCTAACAGAGGTACACGGAGCCTTACGCTGCTAGGGTGCTGCTGATGTTTGCTGGCAGGAGAGGAACAAACTTTCCTTGAATTAAGAAAAAAATTAGCGGTGATAAACTGTAATTTAAAAAAATAGAGAATCAGGTAAAATTTACCCAAGTGACTGTAAATGGTCTATTCAAGCTGCTCAGCCTCTGCGGCAGTTACTCTTCGCCACTCAAGATAGATCAAAGTACAAATTTTTAATAGGCCCTATTTTAATTTTGTTTTTTACTGTACACCAATTACAAAATAGAATTACAAACCCCAACAAATTAGACTCTGACTTGGTAGAAACTTATTGTCTCCTCCCCCAGAAGCACCCCATAGACCCGAAATTGCACAGTCAGGCCCATTTATGGTATTTCTCATCTGTAAAGCACCCTAAGGGATTAAAAAAATTGACGTGTTTTTTTTTTTAAACTGGCTTTCCTTCAAAACTGTGTAATAACTTTCCTCTGAGAAGCTGTGCATCTCATGTCAGAGATAGTAGAAAAGTCTAAGGAAGATTACATCTCCCCAGAGGGAATGTATCTAGATGTTGCTGTACAGAAGGGACAGAAGTTACAGAGAGACCAAAACCTCCAAGAACTGCCAGAGAAGGAATAAAATTTCATCTCACATCCACTCAGATTGTTAAAATCTTGTGAAAAATGCCTTGGGTTTGTTTGGAAAGTGATAATAGGCATGACCTGAATTTCTGTAGTCTATTACCGTAGGTTTGACTGAGTTTAGCTGTTGGATGTAGCTGCTGCTCTCATGCAGATAATCTGTTTTCACAATGTTCTTTCATTGAAACTTGATGCAAGCACTGTTTGCCATCAGCAGTCTCATAAAAATATTCTTTATGCCTCTTCGAAAAATCTTTCTTTCTCCTCTTAAAGTACTGCACCACTTTCCTCTTGGTGATTTTGCAGCTACTCTTTGTCTTTGTTTTAGCTCTTTCTGTACAGAATACTGAAGAGCATACTTGGTTGGCTGCTGTTGTTGTTTTTCTTCTCTAAACACTTTCTCTCTGCCTAACTGGAGCTTAGGCAAAGTCCTCTGTAGGGCCTCATAAATCAGACAGCGCTCGTCTTAATAAAATAGTTCATGTCTTCTGAAGCCTGTGTCCCTACTAGTGATTCTGTCATCCTTTCCTTGAACTTAGTTTTAAGGTTGTAAAGAGTTGTGTTGGCTGACAGCTTGCAGTGCAGAGGAAGCCTGGGGGTGGGAGGATGGAAAGCAGAGGAAGGACATCTCAGGGAAAGCACAACCTGCTTTCAGATGAGAATCTGAACCGCCACACTGTGAGAGACAACCTCAGTCCCCTCAATCTCTGTGAAGATGCGGTGGGACACAAAATACCAAAGACAGCAATATGAAAACATACGAAGCCACAGAGGCATCTAATAAGATATGAGCTGCATCCCACCCTCATTGTCATCATCTTTAAGATCCCAAGAACTCGAGGAAGCTCTGATTACTCGCCTCAATAAAACAAAACATACAGTTTTCATGTATTTAAATTAAGGAATTTATTAAAAAAAACAAAAAACAAAAAACAAAAAAACAAAGCCAAAAAAACAATCAAAACAGTGGTTTGATCTAGATACAGCAGCACTGTGACGTTACTAGGACATTATGTACGAAGAATCCAAGCAGCCATAGAACACAGAAGCCTTTATCTTCAGTAACAATCTCAAAATGAAACTAGCTTCATCAAACAATGTTAAAGATCTCCCTGGAAAGAGAAACAAAACCAAACAGACCCTCCCCACCCCTAACCCTTTGGATACTAGAATGATTTTTTTTTTTTTTTTTACAATACCAACAGCCACTAGCTCTTCTAATTGAGAACACTTGCTTTAATTTATTACAAAAATGATCTGTTGACTCAGTTATGAAAGACAACTTTAAACATTGCTTTAGAAGTGTCTGCTCCTCTTATAGACTACAGTATTAGAAGTGCTTAAAAACATTTAATCCTGGATATGCTCTTGAAATTCAGTCAGAAGGATATTCTGTGTGTGTCTATATACCAAATACGATCTTTAATTTTTAAAGCAGGTGAAAAGACTAACCCTAATATGAAACTGCAATTTCACAATTTAATTATTAGTCAGATATGGGCAACCACATGATAGTTCATGAATTCTTTAGGTCTATCTACATTACTCAGAAACACAAAATAAAGTTTTTACAACTTTCACCTTCAAAAGGCTAAAACGTTAAGTCTTTTAGAAGAGTGTCCAGTGTTTAAAAGAAATGCAATTAAGGGAGACCGCATTCAATAGGCATGAAAGGTAACTCGTTTGAGCTTGCTAATAAACATATCTGACAGCTGCATGTGGGGTGATGAGAAAGGAAAACACATATGTCATCCAGCCACTACCCAAAATGTTTCTTCTCTGGGAGTGAATCTTCTCTACAGGACCGCTGATTCTCTGGAAAACATGGAGCTCCTCTTTGGAGGCTGTTGATCCCAGGCATGTGGTTGCCTCTTTTGTTTCCATAGCTGGGCAGTGAGTTGACCCAGTGTTTGCCACGGATGCATCTCTGTGACTTCACACAGCATCTCACTTAATTGCTTCCTAGGGATTTGTTTGCGGGCTTGGCCAAAAAAAGTTGAACCAGTGAATGTTATTTTGTTCCCTTCTTCGTAACTATTTATTTCCAATAGGAAAAGAAAAAAAAAAAAAAGAGGAAGTGTTTGTGTGAATGCTGCAATTACTAGCTAGCTCTTCAGTAAGAAGTTAATAACATTTGCACTGTCATCTCATCTTCTGTTGGAGATGTCTTTACAGAAGCGCCGTGCATTCTGTTGCAGTATCTCTAAGGAACTAAGACAAATCAATAATAAAAAAGAGCCCTAATTTACAAGAGTCTTCTCCCTAGTCATGTAAATAAGAGCAGCTATATTAAGCCTATTTCACTTAAATAATAATACAAAGAGTTGATATTGATCTGTTTTATGCACAGACTCCAAAGTGCTTCCTGTCGACAGACAGAGCGCATCCCTCCATGTTTAAGAGCAGAAAACCAAAATTGCACAGAGGTTTGCCCAGGGCAGTGAAGAAAAACATGGGCAGAACAGGAACACAAACCACCACTTCTGGCTCCAGTACACAAACCAAGGAGAATACATATGTGCCAGCAGTAATATTCATTTTAGTGAATAGGCAGCAATCTGTTTAAAATTATTTCTTTCCTAAAGCCCATTTGTCAGTACACTAGCTTAGCTGATCCAACTGCAGCAGCTTGTATTTGTATTATCGCAGAGACATTTGGGGGAGGTAAGCATATAATACTGTAGCATACTGTTGGCTTTCACCTTCTTTGGTGGTTTCCCTAAAGGAAATAATTTGCAAAATTCTCTAAACCAATTTATTTCTCTTTTCTTTTTTGCAGTTAAGGACAGAAAGTTATTACCAGCCAGCACAGCAATATTATTTAGTATAAAAGGGATTGTGTCCTGCCCAGCACACAAAAGAGACAAATTGTTTTAAACTTATACAGACCTTCAGCTTTAGCACAAGGGTGTTAGTCATTATTATTCTTAGTCTAAATAGTTAGTAGTATTTTTAATTCCAGGTCATATTTGTGAAAAGCTTGAGATAGACAACTCTGAAATCTTCTGTTTTCCATGGAGCCACTGATTCTGCCAGACTTCACTGCCAAACGTACCCCTGGCAGCCTGGGACAGACCAGGACCGTCCTTGGGCAGGAGAGCCTTTCAGTCTGGATTTCTGCTGCTCCTGCAGGCCACTTTGTGCTTCATGTTACACACATGATCTACATCCCAAGGGGCAGACTAACCCAAGGACATTCTTTCAAAGAAAAGTCCAGTATCTGCAAAGCTTGTATGGGAAACGTGTAGAAACGCCTGATGAATGATCTCCTCTGCACTGAGAGGCTTAATAGGTGAGTATTACAAATATGAAATGAAAAAAAAAAAAATCATGACTAACTGTGGAGCAGAGGTTAAAACACCCATGTCTTGTCCACAATGAAGACAGGTCCTGCAGCCACCTGTTTCGTGGATGTCTGTAAGAAGCAGCTGTGCTATAAGGGTGTGCATTTATTGCTCTTCCAGTAAAGCCTCCATAGGTAACTCCCGGCTGAGGCTCAGATACAAGGAACAGAGACCTGTGTGATGGCTGTTCATGAAGACTGACTGGATACCTACTTGCCTCATCCAACTGTTCCATCTAACCCTCATAGAGGCGACATTGTCTTCCAGCCATGGGACAGACCCTATGCTTAATATGACCTTGTGTGTGGAATTTCCAGGTTACTCAAAAAACTGGGAGCAACATAGGATGAACCAAGGAAGAACGTGCAACAACGTATGATAACAACTGCCAGTGGACACCTGCTGAAGGCATACACATTGTGGTAGTTTTCACACTGTCCTCCAGAGCTCACAGCTTGTCTGTCTTCCTTGTCCTGCCCATAGTTTTATTAGTATTACAGATTGGTTTCCTGGTTTTCTTTTTGGTTGAGGCATCTCTGCTGAAAACGATCAACAGCAATTGGATTTGAAATGCGAGGCTTTGATAGATGAAGCAAAGAATTCAAACTGGGTCCTGAGGTCTGACATTAAGAATCAGTGTCTTCGAATCAGATGCTTTACTGGGTCAGCCAAGTTTGATTTCCTACTGCTGATGGCACTCTTAGCCATAGTTTCTGGGGGAGGGGATGACTGTAAATCGAGACGGTATTAAACTGTTTTTACAGCTAGCTGGTATTGTCTCTGAACTGCCAGTTACCAGGCATCCCTAATCAGTAGGGCCAGATGAACGCTGTGATATTGAATTCTGCAGCTCCCTAATGCTCAGTTTGATCTCCAGTTCGATTTGACTATCTTCACACCTTTCCGAGCTTCAGAAGCAGGTTTTTGTTCAGAAATAACATTTGAGCCATGGCCATTCTTGTAAAAAAAAAATCTCTTTTTAGATAATCTAGGTCAAGAGTGCACATGTAGGAGTTTATTATTTGTTATTTTTTTCCTTCATTTCCATTGTTTAAAAAAGCCTCTCATCCAACCAGAGTGGGAAAAAAATGCTCCAAGTCCTAAGTGAATCTTGAGACACTGTAGAAAATTAATAGCAAACATCTGAACCATAAAAGCCTGTAAACTAACTATTCTTCATCAGACTACTCAGTAAAGATTTAAAAATAAAAAACCTGCTTGCACAATTCAGGATCAGATTGCAAAAGATTTCCGATTCTTACAAAGAGCTACGTTTGCTCATCTGTCTATCTAAAACAAGTGACCAGATCTGAACACGCATTTTTTGGAAAAAAATTTGTATTCTAATTGGAAAGGAGATATAGAAAATTAATCACTCTGGAAAGCTATTAAGGAACTACTCCTTTCTGCTCCTTTGTTATTTGCAAACCCACCTCAAAAACTATTCACTTGGAATCAACATACTAAAAATCCCATCGCAAATGCTCTCCAAAGTTGCACAATGAAACCATACTTTGGGTTTTGGTGTGGTTTTTTTTTTTCCCTCCCCCCAATTCTTGAACACCCACGGCTCCCAGTGCCTTTTAAATTTGGCTTTATGGAGCCAAATGCCAAGTGTCTGTGGAAGCCCAGCTGTGCAGGGCACTGCCTTGGCAGGGCATCAGCCCTCAGTTCTGGGCTCAGATTGCACCTGGTCACACAGTGGGAGTGAGAGGGCTTGTGGTTCTACTCCAGTTCTGAGTGCAAGGTGAGCCGAACAATTAAAAAAAAACACAAAAAAGAAGTAACAAAAAAGAAAATCCTGCAGGTTTTGTTGTTGGAGGCAAACCCTGACTTGAAGGTTCATTATCACTAGTGATGTGTGATATTGATTGAATCGTTCAGGGCTTGGGTACTGAAGCAGTACATCAGTTCTGCTGCCCCAGCATCTTAATACTGTTTAAAGTTTGTCAGACAGCATAGCAACACTTTAGGGATGGGGCATGAGATCTCCACCAACTGGTCTTGTTTCCTGTCTCTCCCCGTACTCACTCACTGCTCCCAAGGGGCTGGGATCCGGAGGGACTCCATCCCAGGCTTGACACTTCAGGTGTGTGTAAGCATCCTTCTTCCACACCATCTTGAGGATTCAGGATTTCTAACCCTAGCATAATGTCCTCCAAGTATCAGGACTCAGCGAATGCAGCTCTCGTCATTCGAGGACTTTGCACTGTCCCTGTGTCTCCACTGCTAGAGTCCTAGAGGTGCTGAGTAAGGAACTGTCCCAGCTGAAAGGAGAGCAGGAGAAGGCACATACGCTATCATTCACTGCTGTCATAAACAAGTCATCCCCACTAGTTAAGGCTGATAGCATCTGAGAGATATAAGGCCTTCTACAATCTATATTTGCAATTTGTTCACCAGCTTCTGGAAAGGGGTTTGTTGTTATTAGGGTTTTATTTCCCAAGTGGGAGACTGCAAAGAAGGAAAATTTCCTCTTCATATGCCAAGTTGGTAACATGTAGGAGATGAAGCCCTTGGGCCACAGCTGCAGTTTTATCAGATTTATCCAATGAAATATTAATGGGCTAAGCTTTCCCCAACCATCTTTTTTCCTTCCTCATGATAGTAGGTAGAAATTATCAGCTGCATTTTTCTGATGGGCAAATATGTTTGTCTGCAAAGTGATACAATGGCAATAGTGGAAAAAAAAGAGCTTCATCTTTCACTCCATCCCCTTCCAGCACCTTCTTCCCCTAGCATCAGTGTAGAGGATGAAATCAACTGAGGGTGCACCAACATGCTGTGTACCATACTGTTAGAAGGTGATGATGTCTTAGAGTGCTAGAAACAGATAGGAGTTGCACAACTTTGCAGCTCTCTAAGAAAAACTGAGATGTGTGTCTTGTCTTGTCTCAGGGACGCTGATACACATCAGTTGTCTGGCTAAGGTCTGCTCCTCCACTTCTCACCTACACTTCTTGCAATCAGGTGGAATCCCACATGTCATTGAAGAAGGCCTGTGAAAACCTCCCAGAGCAAGTAAGTCTTTGTGCAGAGCGTGCTCAAGGGACTGATCAGATTCCTGTTGACTCAGGCAGCTTTATGTCAGGCCATGAGAACAGCACTGGAGGTTAATAGCCCTGTCTGTGCATAGTGGCTTTCACCTCTACAATATTACATTCCCCTCCTGTCAGGAAGCTGAAACCATTAGTTTATAGTTGATACAGAGAGAGAAAATGACACAAAATTCTCATCTATTACTGTCTCACTAAAATCTTGCATCTTCTGTAAGATCTGCAATGCCATCACCTGACATGGGAGAGTGGCTGAAGTTCTCCCAGAGCACCACCAATACAGGGAAAAGGAATTTCTGGACCACACTGATGTTAAGGAAAAAGAGCAACAAGTTCTTGGTGATATGACAGCACACTTGCACAGCGCCACTACATGTCTACTAACGACCAAGAAAACTGGAGGCTTTTGAAAAGATGTGGACTTGCACCTTAACGTATTTTACTCCTAATAAAGGAGCCAAAGCCTCATCTTCCTTGCTTGACTTTTCTCTGTCAGTTGCTTTATGCAAATCCTGTCTTTGTTCTGCCTCTCTCCCTCATGACCTCAAGCTTAGTATGTAATTCCTGCGTCTTTCTCAAGAGATTTGCCACTACTAACCTGCATCATTTTTTCCCCTCTGCATTGGCCAGATAGAACATACACAGGATAGTCTGATGAATTTTGGCTGTTGAGACTTCCACTGGAACTGTGATTCCTTGTACCCTGGGATTACTGCACTACTAGCTAACAGGGTTTTAGAAACACCAGGCTGACCTTCAGGTGTTCCCGATGACCCAGGTGTAGAATCATCATTATACTCTAGTCAACATTGTAAAGAGCTCGGTGAACCAACACGTTTTACAGAACATGTTGGGCTGTAGAGATCCTGTCTGCACATTGGGGGACAAAGGTTTTCCAATTCCTGTTGAATGGAAGCAACCGTATTTTTGATCTGATGTTAATAATAATAATAATAATAATAATAATGGCATATTTGAGAAGAGCATGATTCTGATGCCTGAGGTACTGCTAGTGACCCTGACCAATCCTGTTTGTACTAGTGGGAACAATGTTTTTGTCAGTGGTTGAAGGATCCTGGACAAAGGATGATGGAACCAAAAGTGGGAGGTATTATTTCATAACTGACATTTTATTCCATTGAGGACCTAACTGAGGGGACGAGTGATAGTGTGTTTGGCATGACACACGGAAGTACTCTAAGTGCAGACACAACCTATAGGTTCTGCTACTGCTCAGAAGTAGCTCAGACCTGAACCTCCGCAGCTCTGCTCTAGAACGCTGTCATGAATCTCATGGTCAGCACAAACCAGACCACTGGATTTCTCTGTTGCTACCTGTTTGATATGAGCAACTGTGGAAGGGCCTTGGACTTTTGATTGCAGCATGAAGATCACTTCGAGTTTTGCTCTCATTTCAGCGGGTGCAATTTTCAAGTCCTTGAAAAACAAATGGTCATTTGCTTTCCTGGTCACCTCTCACTCAATTTTGTTCCTGCTGTCATTAGAAACAGCACAAAAACTAGTGAAGGAGAAAGGCTTAAAAAAGGGTTCCCTTTCTAACTAAAAAGTTTTTGATGAGCTAACAATGTAAGTAAGTGCAAATCTCAGCTGTGCTGGTCCCATGAAATCACAAACCTTAGGCATAGCAAGTAGCATTCTTGAATGCATCAGAATCTTGTCTTTTAGCATTTAATGCGAGACATTACAAACTAATGAGGAGGAGAAATGTATGCAGTGTTGCTGTAAACCAAATATACAGATGTAAAATAATTAAGAATAAACTGTTCCATAAAAATGCATGTCAGTAAAACCCAGTCTGATAAAGTGATTTATGAATAATTTTCTAGAATTACTAAAAAGAATGATTTCTCGTTTGAGGCTCTGGAAGTCTTGAGTCACATTTTTTTTTTCTTTTAAAAAAATGTCTTAAAACACATGGCTTTACAGCTGCTGCTTGGAAAATATACACCTCCAAAGTCTGACTTTCATTTAAATACAAATGTACAAAATGTAAACTGAGACAATAGAGAAATTTACAAAACTTTTCTTTAAAAATAATAAAGACAAAATTCAGTTCTAGTATGATGCTATTTAAATACGTGCAAGTAGTCATGTTCATTGAATTTCTATTGCAATGTTCTAAATAGACGAATTTGATTCACACAGTCTTGAGTGCCACCTCCAAAAAACAGACCTGAGTGGAAAATTCTTCTTAAAATGCGAGGCTCCACTGGAAGGAATGGATAGAAAATCTCCATTTTGGGGAGATCCTTTTTTTTTTTTTTTTTCACTCAACGGTGGAGGCTCTCTCATCCATAGAAGCTCCATAGATTATAGTGGAAGGATGCAACATGTTGTTTCATAAAACTGAGTTGGAACTAGCTGCTTCCAGTGGAGTTTGAACTTACGTGATTTGAATTTATGTGGTGATTTAAACTTGCCTTTGAATTTGGAGAACTCTTTGAATTGTTCTGATGCTGTAGAGAGAGGAAGACAATGACTATTAGATTCCCAGATTATGCCACGCTTTCTTTTAGTCCAACATTGTTCATCTTATGGTGATAATGTACTGACTGGGCTGTGAGATTTTTGTTTGAAGATCTTTGGATGTAAAATATTCTTCACTTTCTTACCTGTATTCTCTCTAGGTCAGGAGGACCATGGCAGTTCTTGAGGAATGCAGCAAAGAAGACTCACTCAGGCTTCAGGAGTCAAATCAATTCACTGCAAAGTGTCAGTATCTGCTAACTCTGACTAATACAGGGGATAGCTGCCAATGCTCAGGCATGGTTTGAACCCTACAGAAACAGGGTTGCTCTAAGAATGTTATTTAGATTTGCAAGTGGTGCCATGGTGCCTTGTGAAAGCTGTACATCACGTACTATCTGATCTGCTCTCTTCTCTAGCATCTTGGTTTCCTCCCATGACTACCTCACTCAAAATTTGCATTTTCTTTTTTTTTTTTTTTTTTTTAAACACATAAATCAAGGATTTTCACAAGGAACTTATTAAAACCATATAGCCATTTCAAACGGCATTTCAGCATACCACTGAAAAATAGGTTGGGTAAGAAGTCTTCAACTGCTGGAAAGAAAGGTGATGAACAACACTGGAACTTCTGGTGGTAAAAAAATCACAAGAGGCAGATGGGAAACCTGGGATATGCAGTATTAGTCAGGAGATTACCAGGTAACTGTGACATCCTCTCTAAGATGCACTGTCTTCCTCCTAGCAAAAATACCACCAGGACATGGCTGTGACACAGGGCATCTACGGGAGTTTCCTTGTCTTAGTCATAAAAGATCTCACCTGTCTTTTAAATATTCTTTGTAGCAATCCTTTCTTGGGTGGCTCTGGGGGGTAGCTTTTGTTTAGGTCTGGTGAAATAGTACCATTTGGTCCAAATACATTCAGTTCTTTGAAACACTCTGTTTCTATCATCTAGTGGAATACAATAAGAAAGAAAAAAAGAAATTTTACATCTGAATTAAATATATTCCAGTAGTGCTAGGTTGTTCAAAGTCAGGATCAGGACCAGCAGCTTTAGCAATATGTTAGGAGAGTTAACAGTTGAATTCCTGCTCGTGGCTATAGAAGGCGAACAGGATGTATGAAAAAGAGAGGCTGAGTTTGCTCTGCATGTTTGCACATCAGTCTTATTAGAAATTGCCCCATAGAGCTTTCTGTTCTTTTCTTTAGCACTGTGAAGAATATTGGGTAAAGATGGGCATACTCAAAAAATCCCAGTTATTAGCATCTCTCTGCCTAAGTGGATCTGTTGTTTGATCCAGAGTTGGATTATGAAATCCACTGCTGGCTGTGTTTTGATATCAAACAGAAACAAAGACCCAGCTCTGTAAACCCTGGAGCAGTTCCAGCTCCAGAGTCAACTGCTGCAGCTGGTACACGCTGCAGGTACAAGACAATGGGTGAGATCACCATCACCAGCGGAGGAGCTTCCCACCAGGACCTCCAGCCATCCCACGGAAGTTCCCGAGAGCTGTTGTCGAAACACCTCTGTAGAAGTCCAGGAGAAGGAAGTACAGTAGGATCATTGCCAATTTACACAAATATGCAGAGCCAATAGATACAGTCACCTGAACCTGACATCTGTGGTACATTATAGATCTTGAAAGAGGCCATTTGTAACTTATGAAAGCACTAGAGTCTGGCAAGTTATCCAGTAGCTATATATTACTGGAAATATACAGCTACTCTTAAACCATCTGTGTTAGGGGTTTTATTGGCGTAATTTTACGATGATACATCCTTACCTCATTTTGCCATGGAATAGACACTGATCCTGTGGAAAACTTGGAATAGAAATCATCATCTGTTTGGTCCAGGTTAACTCCTTTCACTGTGGAGAATTGCTCGATGTCCAAGACATCCTTGCAGTATACTGCTCTGGGCTACCTCAGCAGGAAAAAAAAAAAAAAAAGGAAAAACAGCAAGAGAAAAAACATTTCTGAGTCTGACCATGTGCTTTCATTCACAGATTCAGTCAAGTGAGAACGCCTAACAACAAGTGACTATCTGCATCCTGCTTCTCTAGACTTGCTCTGGCCGCTTGTTTATCATCAAAGGCTGACTTTGCTTTAAGCATGTTAAGCTTTTCCCACTTTGAAGTCCTTAAAGCATCAGCAGAGCCAAAGTAGGTTTTAGTCATTCATGTAGCATATGATTAAGAGGTGAGGGGAAAAGGACAGAACGAACAAGAAAACAAAAATCAAATCCTTCAGCAGTCTTTTGTTTTGGAGGGGGAACAACAGAAAACCAGAATGTTTATGACTGACGTGTTGGAGACAGCTCTGAAAAGGGACCTCAAGTGTCCTTCTGCTCAGATAACTGCGGAGTTTGCAGCTTAAAAGTGTAAAGGAATGTATACTAATTGCTAAAGAAAACAGAAAGGGTTTGGCGTTTTTCCATTGTTTTTATTAATAGCTCAGCTGCTGGAAGCTGTCCAGAATCACCTCTATTAACTCTTTTAACTTGGCTGCCTTTCTTCAAACAAATAGTCAAATGGCTTTGCCTTTTTAAACTACTTAATTTTCTGGGATGACAGAGACAGGACTCTTTGCAGTGACGCTGCTTTTAGCTCACACTCCAGCAGTCAGCCACAGAGAGCAGACATAGTCATCACTGGCTACCTGTCATAGTTAGTGTGGTCATCGGCACGCCTAGAGAGTTCCCATCAACAACCCTGTGATGGGCAGGAGTAACTGAGGGGTGGCTTGTGGGACTAGCCTGACCTGCTGAACTCAAGCACGCGTTGAATCCCACTGTCTACACGTGGTGCCATGACTGCACAGCCCAGGGGTCCAACTGTGCAATATTTCATCTAGATCTGAGCAGTGTGACCAAACAAATCAAGCTGATTCCTGACGGAAGTTCTATTTGCTGGAGGCTGCATCCCTCTGCATTCCTGACAGCTGCAATCCACAACATTTTTGTGGAGACAGAACGGAGAGACATGGGTTGGATTACAACCTCTGCCATTGGCTATAGAGCTTTGGGTGATTCAGCTAACTTCAGTAAAGCCTTGGAAATCTATGGGTGAAGTGCCAAATAAATTAAATTAGGGGCAGCTCTTGAGTTCCCAATAAATAGCCATAAAAATTTATGTGCCCCTGCTTTAGCAAATATGTCTATAAGAGGTGCCTTCTAGGCCTTACATGCCACAGTTAAGCTTTTAATACACTCTGGCGGATCCCAAATTTGAGCCCAGAATTTTCTAATTTTCTACATCAGAAAGAAATAGTAGCTTGTCTCCTGTTTCTTCCCACTAAAGCAGGTCGTAACACCAAGGGCTAATTGGCAGGAATAACTAGGCCGCATAGTAAAATGTAAAGCAAAACCAGAGCAGCTAAAGTAAACTTTTGTAGCGTTCAAACCACTTTGGTTTGGTTGAGTTTGCAGCAATGTGAACGAGAGCTGCCAAGATGTTACTTTCCTTAATACGTTAAAATGGCAGTGTTTACTTAGAACCATATGGGAACTTTAAGGAGAGAAGGTCTAGCCAGAAAGAGAGCCCTCCAGGAGGAAAATAATCAGATAACTCCATGCACTGGGGTGGAGACCGATACCACAGAAGGGTGGAAAAAGTTTTGTTATTGCCAATGCAACAAAGAAAAGGTTTTGTTATTGCCAGTGCAACAAAGACTTTCAGTATGTGCAAGACTGGGGTGTAAACCTGAGTAAGGACTCAAGGTTGGGTTCTGTGCCCATGAACACCATCAAGTTCAAATTGTTCTCTCGGGTCCAAGGCACCTCCTCTGCTCTAGGTGACACGTGATACCCGAACCTGGTTCAGACTCTGTAACAAATGCCTGTTTTCATGACCATCCAGACCATTCCTCAGTTCCCTGAAGCTTTGGACTCTGTAATTCTGATTTCACCCCAGCATATATACCTGTATATCTGCATGCATACATGTGGCTTTCACTGGCTGACTGATCCGAGCACAACCTGGTCCTGAGCGAACTTACTCTCACACTACTACCGTGAGTAAGGGAATACAAAGGTTCCTGGTTTAAAGTTTGGGAACTGAGGCATGAACAGAGCAAGTGGTGCCTCCAGTGTCACACTGGAAGACTGTGGTCAAGTGAGTGGGAAAACACAACGTGGAGGCCCACACACCCTGCACGCACACATCTACAGGGCAGCTCTCCTCTTCCTCCCAGCCTCCCCACTCCAGCCCTACCACTTATCACATCTTCCTAGGGCAGCTACCCATGCAGAGAGTGATGACAGCTCTAAGAGAGAGAGGTTATTTTAGAAACAAATATCTTGAAAGAGTCCACTGGGGATTCTTCCAACCGTACTTACATCAGGGACAAAGGGAGGATCCAGCATTCCTGCTTCTAACCGCTTGAAATTCATGCTCTTGAAAAAGGGGTGCCTCTTCACTTCTGTTGCACCTTCCCCTTGACATCCTAGCCGCTGCTTCACGTCTTTGGTGAGGAGCTGAAATATGCCAAGAGGTGTGGTAAGGATGTCAGAAAAACAAGAGCTACACAAAGATATTTTTATCTCCAGTTGGTTTTGAATGTGCCCAGAGGGAAGTACAGAGGGGAACTGTAATCACTGTTACTTAATGGCCAAAGTTAAATGGATTAGGACTGCACTGTTCTACATGCTGGTGAAACCCTTTGAAAATTATCTGCTGTAAAGTGTTTACAGTCAAAATAGAGACCATTGCTTCTACTTACTTTCAGTGAATGCTTTCAAGAAGTCATCTGACATACTCTAATAACATCTACATATGCACATTCATAAGTACCATGTGCTTTTTCTCAATTCTTTTTTTTTTTCTTGTTATTCTTGTAAGAACAATTTTCCTGTGTTGTTTAGGCTGAATGACTTGACTATCAAATTGTACTTTCCTCCACCCAGTGCAGTATATTTCAGTACATCACACGACACATCAGAACAACCCTTTGTGCTCATGGGCTTATCTCTGCTGAACTCAGAGTGAGTTTTGTCCGTGAAGCCATCCTCAGTTCAGACTTTGTTTCTAGAGAAGGGCAATGCTCCGGGGGGGAGATAGGGGGGTGCTGTGCAGAGCAACCGCAGCGAACTGATGAGCAAAACGCCCTGGCACTGCCTGCCCGCCGAGGGGGGCATGGGGGGTGTGGTGCTCAGCAGCCACGCAGGACAGTGCGGCGGTTTGGGCTCTCGGAGCATCCCTAGTCCGTGGAAGGGACTGAGCCCTGGGGACCCCCCCTGGGTCATACTCCCTGTACCTGGGAGCCAGCAAACGGAGCTGCACCCCGCGGCGCCTGCCTGGGGCTCCCCGAAGAGCCGAGCAGCCCTGGGAGGGTCGGAGAGGAAGAGAAGTGTTGCAGGAGATGGGGTGGGCGATCGGGGGCAGCCAGGCGGCGTGTCCCCGCTCGGGCAAGGCTGTCTGGAGATGCTGCCCGGAGGCTTCCCAGCTCAGGGCATGCCTCAGCACCCTCCGGGTGTGTTGCTGTCTCAGCCGCATCAGCTCAGGGAGGGGGAACCTTGAAAGAACTGTTTGTTGTTAATGTGATGTTGGTAATCTTTGCTCTGGTGTCTGGCTAGAGCTGGGTTTTCTTGTCCTTATCACAGGTTTACAGGGTCACAGCTCTGTAGGCTCTTCTGAATGCTCTGCTACCCCCGGGCATCAGTGGTTTTCTTATCTGACTCCCACAGCCTCCTCAGTTCTGCATTTTTTTGCCTCCAGCCTGAGACTGCAAATGGCTTTGGCAATCAGTGTGCCCCGGGTATGCAGAGACCATGCGGCAGCCAGTCCTGAGCAAGCCACAGTGGCAGAGGCCAAGCAGCCAGAAGAGGTACTGAAAAGGTTTGTGGGACCTAAGAGTCTTGGGCTCAGCTCTTTCTGCCTCAGCAGTAGCAGCAGCAATAGCCAGAGAAGGCTGTATGGATTGGGGGGTGGGGGAAAAGCTAGTGGGTCTGGCCACAACAGCAGTGTCCCTTTCTCTCTCACAGTTTCTTCTGCCTCTGCTGCTGCCTAGGTGGTGACATCTGGTATGACTGGTCACCACGACTGGCTGGTTCATAGATGGGGCAAGACTTGAAGAAACATTTCTATGCCTTGCCATCCTCTGAGCACATAGATTCAAGTGATACAGCACTGTTTTGATCCAACTCATATGAAAAGATCCTTCTCGGGGCACTTCTCTGGAGCTTTCTTTCCCTGGGTAGAAGGAAAGAGGGATGTTTTGCTTTCAGATCCTTGCATGAGACTTTCAGGTCTCACAGTCTTGAAGCAAGGTTTTTTTTGTGTGGTTTTTGCTTTTTTTGCCTTTTTTTTGCCTTTTTTTTTTTTTTTTTTAATCTCAACCGGCATATGGATTTAGCCTATGTAAAGAAGATTGCTTTGGAATTTCCAGTCAAGATCTGGTTTGACTCTATTGTGGCTGGGCAAAGAAGACAGAATTTCTTTTGATCTTCTATTCTCATGTTGAAAGGACTTTCTTGACAGGTGGAAAGAAGAATCAGAAGACAGAAGGACCACTTCTACTACCCATGGCTCTGATACACTTTTGGAAAGGATACCTTGAAGCTCTCAGGAACAGTGCTGATGAGAAGTTGTGGTAGGAAAGGGGTAGATTTGGACTTGCCTGTAAATGATAAAGGAAAGCTTTGTAGTTTCTGCTCTCCAGTCAGCTGTGAAGGAAAGAAAGGGGGTTACTTTCCTGTCTGTGCAGCCAGTAATTCTCCTGTCTCTGGACTAAGTGGGAAGACCAAGCTAATTGGGGAATTTACCCTTGCCAAGCTGTAAATGTTAGAAGTGGTTTGGAGTGGGTGGTCAGAGGATAGGGTAGTTGAGGATAGAAAAAGTCTGTCTGGGAATTCCTGGGCTCCTCTGTGATAAACAAGGGAGTATTCAGTAACCTCAGATGCAAGAAGGAAGTCTCTGGAGCATGAATGCAGTTGGTCGTGGGTGGCTGGCCACCGCAGGCTGGAAGACACAAAAGGGAACAGGCCACTGGGAATAGGCTGGGACTGAAAGACCACAGAAAGGAGAGGATACTCCTGCAAAGCCCTGCTGCAGGGGAGCAGCTGCCTGCCTCTTGAGGAGAGTGCCAGGAGAGTTCCAATGGAGAAAAAAAAGAGAAGTTCATGGAATTTGGTAAGCTGTAGCTGAAGCCAGCTCTAGAGATGGCAACAGGTGAAACCAGACACTTCTGGCTTCTGTTGTGGGTATCAAGAGATATAGCATAGATCAGAATATTTTCCAGAAGGGAAAGGCTTTCCTTCCTCCAAGGAATAATGAGTCTTGAACCATTTCCTGAAGCCCCAGCAGCTCTCTGCAACATTAAACCTGAATAATAGCCTGAAATACGCATCCTATTTGGGAATCTGTCCAGGAAAACAAAACAGAGATAACAACTATATGTTTTGAGTCATCTCTACACTTTTGTTTAATTCAGTTTCAAAGGATGTATTTAATATGAATAGAGAGCAGAACAAAAGCAACTACATCAGGCTGATGACAAGCCCTCCTGGGACAGCAGTGCAAATGACCCAATCAAACACAATTTTAAGTGGAATTCTACAGCCAAAGTCTACGGAGAATTCACAGAGCTTCAGATCTGAAGATGGCTTAGGCCACCCAACCATGCATGAAGTCGATACCAAGCAGCAGAGTTTTATGTTCTGGTAACAAAGGCACCAAATGACACTGGATGTGTGTAAATGAGGGCAGGATTTAGTCTACAGAGTTATGGGCAAAGCGTGACTAGAATGGGGCTTTCAAAGAAGAGTCATGAATAGCAGTGGTGAAGTTACATTAAGATCTTTTTCTTGATATAAAGAACTCTCTGATACTTTCATGACACTCATTTGATCCCCGCTGGGGATTCTAACTCTGCAGTGTCTGAGACTTTTTCCACGACTTTGTTTTGCTTCCTTTACAAAAAGAAACAACTGTTGTGAGGATTGCTAAAAATAGCCAACAGTCCCCAAAGCGCTGCTTTATTTATCTTCATGTGATCAGTCAGTTCATATCCAGATCATACCATGTAATAAATAACTCCAAGTCCTAAGATGTTAGTCCTAAAATTATAGAAGTAAGGGAAACTTTTTGTAGGGTGAGTGCAAAAAAATTGCTGCTCAAGAAAGGAGAAAGGGGAAATGGTAAAACCACTTCCATTGACCCAGCTGATCAAATAGTTTAAGGGATCACCTAGACAAATTTCAACCCTGAAACAGAAGTAAAACAGACTATTTTTAAAAATTTTGAGAGAACAGGAAAGTAATACTATGGTCACCTCTCAATTATAAAATGAGACAAAGGAGAATGACATAAATGGCTGTGCATTGCACTGCTTATGCTTATGATTTCACAGCCCAATCTGGCCACGTGAAGAATCAAAACTCTCTCAGGCATGTGTGACAATTAAGTTATCGCAAAGGCTTACTACAGAAATTATTTATTATTGTTGTTGTTTTGTTGTTGTTGTTATTATTATTACCATTGCCAATAGCACTGGTAATAATTTGAAGAGCACCTTGAGGTGCCTCTCATGATAGATGAAAGACCAGTTATTCTCAGGCAGCACTGATAAACTTTAAGGTGTCATAATGTGTGAACAAGTTGGTTTCCAGGGATGAAAGCAGAGAGGAGGGATGAAAGCAGGCAGAAGTAGTAGCAGTATGATGACAGAGTTTCTGGTGCTGAGGAAGAGAAAAAAATTGCTTTTAGGGAAGAAAAAATCCATCACCTTTTAGTCGGTTGGGCAGGCACTTTGGGAAGGGAATGGAGAACAGAATCACAGCTGAGGCTGGAAGGTGCCTCTGGAGATTGTCTAGTTCAATCCCTCTGCTCAAAGCAGAGTTACCCAGAGCAGGTTGCTCAAGGCCATGTCCAGCTGGGTTTTGGATATCTCCAAGTGTGGAGACTCCACAGCCTCTTTGAGTAACCCGTTCCAGTATTTGACTACCCTCACCATGAAAAAGTGTTTCCTGATGCCCAGAGGCACCCTCTTGTGTTTCAGTTTGTGCCCACTGCCTCCTGTCTTGCCACTGGGCACCAAACCAAGAGTTTGGCTCTATCTTCTTCACACCCTCCAATCAGAGATCCCTTTTGCAGAGTCAAATGGGAGCTGCAGGAATAAGAAGTGTCAGGGAAGACAGTCTGTGGGAAATGTAGACAAACAGGACACTGACAGAGTGACAGAACAGCACAGAAATACAGGCCCATCCAATATTGTTGACTTGAATACAGCAAGTCACAGCTTTGGATACAAGACTGCACTTGTCAGGGAAAGCACACGTGTACACCAGTGAAGTACAAGTCATAATAACAATGAACAGGGAGCATTTCCTAGAAAGATCAGATTTTTTCACAGAAAAAACACACCATGAAGCAGTTATGTTATATGGGAACTATGGGTTGGGGAGCTTCCCAGAAAGCCAGCTGCCCCTGTTCCTAATTATTTATTATTCATCTCTGCTTCAGTCCAAAATGAGGACTGATTTATGGGAAATTACTTACAAAATGAAACATGGAAATACAGGATGGATGATGATTAATGGGAGCTATGATATGTGCCTGCAAGAATGCAAAGGGCATAAACATCCAGGAGGGGAAGGTTGACATAGGGTGACACTAAGGGTTTTCATATGAGAATAAAGACAATATATATCCTGATGGAGATGCCCGTAGCTCATGGAGTGAGCTATGAAGAGAAGGTTAAGAGACATGGTGGAAAACATCTTGCTCACTCCTGCCCTGAAGAGTTCACTACAGGAAAGCCTTCTGTGCTGGATCTTTGTGAAGGCTAAGTTGGATTTATGTACTGCAGCTTTATGCTTCATTTTGCAGGTATGATGGGTACTTAATTCTAACTTTTTTTGTTTCCTTGTTAAGATGCTGATATGAAGCAATGAAGTCCTGGTTTTCAATATGAAGAGCAAAAGGTATTTGAGAAGATATATTTGAATAATGGATTTTAAAAAAATATCATTTGATAAAATAAATGACTTTTGGATGGAAAACCACAAATGCCATCATGCTCAGTATCAGAAGTAAGGCTCTAGCAGCCTCAAGGCACTGTAGTTTTAATGCATTAGTGTTCAAAAATGACAGGGTTATCTTTGGTCCATTGAGAGTTTGCACAAACCACCTAAATAAACATGCCACGCGATTGGACAGTGAAGCAGTAATGATCAAGTTGTCAGGAATGATTTACATATAGTTCATGGTTCCCTGAGGCAAGAGAAGGAACTAGACGACTTCCTGGGGTCCCTGACTCCCTGAAACCATAGACTCTATGGCTTGAAGATGAAAATGACCACTACAGCATAATGACTTTCACTGTCTACTCCCCTGGCAGTGGTAGGTCACCTCCAGCGCTATCCCATCAACACTACATTTTATTCTTCTCAGCTTTAAGTTCTCATGGGCTTGGTTATTTTCAAAGTATACTTTCATTCTATTATGTCTCATGCCTGCAACTAACTACGGAACAAGCAACAAAAATACGATTTTTGCCTCATGACATTTTCATTCCATGCTAACAACAGGACACGCACAAAATCTCTGCCCCTCCAAGAAAACGCTGCTCCTCACCTGGTGGGAGTTGAGATGCTACTAGAGAAGAGATGGCAGGCTGTCTGAGCACATGAAACGGTCTGTAGGAGCCTGTGGCTGTCCTAGATCCACCCACGCCGACTTCAGTGGGGGCTCTGAATTGCAGATTAAGGGCAGTGAATGGCCTAGAGTATTTATCAAGAGTGATGTCAGTTAATTACTACCCCTGGGATTCTGCAATGAGTTGGTGCACTGTGAGTTAATGACTTCCAGGCATGATACTTGGCAATACTACCATTATTATTTTGCAAGGAGACTTCAATGTCTCTTCATGAAGCCAGCCAGCCAGAATGTTGTTGATCTGCTGTTTGCTTGCCTGTCGCACAAGATACTGGTGAAACTCTCACTACCTATTTGCTGACCTTTCCTTCCCTTCATTCTCTCCCTACCAGTATATACAGATATGTCATTATCTCCAAAGGAGACTTCACTCTTCAGCAAACAACATCAAGAAAAAGGCCACATCCTTTTCCAAATTACAATTCAGTCTTCTAAAGATGGATGTTGACAAGACGTTGATGAATTCGGTCACAGCTTTGAGATTTCTCAGAGGGTTTGAGGATTTCCATTGTCAGACATGGCTATTGTGCTACGAAAATGACTCCCAGCTGAAAGAGTGAGAAAACTTTTTAAAGGACAGCTCAACAGTATTAAAAAAAGCTGGATACCCTGGCACCTCGGGGGAGAAACTGCTAACGAAGTTAGTGAGATGGGGTGGGACAACACTTGAGTGTCACAATAATTTCATTGCATAATCTTTGTCCTGCTTACCCCCAGCTCTCACCAAAGACAATGGAAGCATGGGGTTTTCAGTTCCTTGCAGGAGACAATCAGAGTCTTGCATCATCAAGTCCTTTTTATTTTTTCTACAAGATTATAAAAGACAGAAGTGCATTCTTAACTAACATTCAAAGTCTTACGAGAATAGATACCCTCCCTTGGCCATAAAACTTTGGAGTGGACTCAAGATGACCGTGATGAATCTCATGGAGAAGCAAGCCCAAATAAACACAATTTGAATGAATAGAGAATGCAGTCATCCCATCAACAGATGAGCTTGGTTAGTCTTTGTCTCTGCAGCCCCTCTATGGTACTGTGTTACTGCTCAAACCCTGTCAGATACAGCTTGCTAATGAAGCTGCCACCCTGGGCCTTCAAGCCCCTTACCATTTTACAGATGGACTTGGCCTCCTCAGAAAACTTATGGGAGTAGACCTCTTCTGTCTCCAGCACTCTTCTGTCCACTTCTTCCCTCTTCACCTTCTCTTTCCTTCCACGAAATGGAGATTGCCCAGCAATCATTTCATAAATGAGACAGCCTAGCCCCCAGTAGTCAGGGCTGAGTGTGTACCTCTGGTTGTTCAACACTTCTGGAGCTGTGGAGGAGAAAAATGTGTCTTGAGGAAATACTTGGTATTTACATAGGCAAACAAATTTCTTGAAAGTCCATTTTAGTGACTGAATACACACGCACAGAGAATGGTGGGTGGAATATAAAAACACCTCCTGACTTCAGTTGATGCCTCTACAGAAAATGCAGCATGCTACATGCCATGCACACAGTGTCTCCTGACTTCTCTACCAAGTCAGACCAACCGAAAAAACACAAAAAGAAGTCGAAGCTAAGTACTGAGCAGAGGCCTAATCTTAAGAGTCCTTCCAGCTTTCTCCATTGAGGGAAGAAACGGCATACAAATGCACATCCTGTAAACAGCAGTGACATTTCTTCAAAAGCAAATTCTGTCTTTTTGCTCAATTTATAACTTTTTAATTTCCCTCTTTAAAAAACACATCAATTTATTTTGTTTTGCAACCACACAGTGTGCTTTGGGCATACACAGTCACTGTCTTGCAGGCATCCTCACTTCCGTACATGGGTACAAAACTGCATACACACATGTTCCCAAGCACAGAGTCTTAGTGAGCGCACAGAGTTACATGGTGGCAACAAAATTTAGAAATGACAACTGATCTGCTTGCTTTCATTAAAGTCTCCATATGGTGTAACAGTGGCTCATATCAGATAGTTTCTATTTAGTCAAATAAGCACAAGCAATTTTTATTCCAAGAAATATGCCCACCCAGAGAACGCGTGAAAATAATTACAGTGAATTCAGGAAACAGAGCTGTTAAATCAGGGAGTGTGTTTTTTACCAATGCACAAATCTCTACTCGTCTTTTGTGCAGCCTCCCCTGCCCATAGGGAAGACTCAAGATGACCTTGGTCAAGATGACCATAGGTGCAGACTTACCCATTTTATCATAAACATACAAATAAATTTTAACTATTATGTAAAGCAGCAACTAGAAAGAAGCCTTTCTTTTAGCACATAACCCTCCTAAAAATAAACCTACGCTAAAATCACTAGAATCCCAGTTGTCTCCCCTTTTAATTTGCTTTGCTGTTTTAAGATTATATTTTTGATTTCCACTAGCATGAAGTCTTGGTGGGTTGCTACTGGGAACTGGATCCAGCTGAACGTGAATATTTTTTAATTATTTTTCTTAAGCTTACATGGCAGAAAGATCTCCAAAACTCAAGTAATCTCAGCAAATTATAAAAAAGATGAGCTACTGAAGACTTACCCATATATCCTACTGTTCCTACTCTTCCACGGATTGATTCACCCTCAGGGATTTTAACAGCTAGACCCAAATCAGATATTCTAATATGGCCTGGAAGGAAAAAGAAACAAAACAACACAAAGCAGATATGATAGTATGACCCAAATTAGTCCAAAACCACAACTGCTGTCATTACTACAATACACTTGCAATGTACTGTTCAGACATTTTAAGCAAAGAGTGTTCTGAATCACAGTTTCACTGATAAGGAGAAGAGGAATTATTAAGGGCATTACAATGCAGTGAAATTTTATCAGTGAGGCTACAAACTAGCGTGGATTGTGTTAAATATTTTAAAACCCACCAAAAAAAGGCAATGAGAAGCATGCTGTAGGGAAGTATCTTGAACCGATCATAGAGGATGGATGGGCTGATATAATTCTGTAACTCTCTGATGGCTGAAGGGGCTACATCTGGTCTGTAAGCCAGCGTGAGATTTGATTATCGCTGCCTTCGGCAACAAACAGGTACCTGGGTTTGCATAAAATGAGAGTTGGCTCAGCAACGGATGAAGGTGCTTTTGAAAATGGAGTGGGAAGCACAGATTTAGAAATCCCGGCTTCCTCTGTGTGTGTCAGCCTTGCAACAATAAAGATGGAAAAACAATGAAAAAAGGCAAACAGCCCCGGCAAAGCTGTGCTTTCACGAACAGACCCCGTTGAGCAGCACGGCTGCTTCATTCCATCCATGCGATGAGCTCCAGCACTTCACCCACCCCAAGACAGGAGTATTAGTGTATGCTGAGCCTCTTAGTCACTTCAGAGCATTATTTGTCTTTGTGCAATATATAACCTAAAACTAACTTAATCTACTTTACTGTGAAAGCATCTCTGTAAATCTCAGAGACTTACCATAATCATCTAGCAGGATATTTTCCGGCTTCAAATCTCTGAAAATGAAATAGAGCAGTTATTTGTATGAAGCTGGTTTTGATAACATAACCATATGACGGTGTGTGAGTGCATTTATTACCAGTAATAAACCAATTGAGTGTCAACTCAAACAGCAAGAAACTCATGAAACCAATATAACTTTCTACAACTCACTTCACGGATAGACTGAAACCATATGTCTTTTTCTAAACTGGAGTTACGTTTTTTTACTCAGTCAAGCTTTTAGTTCCTAATCCACTCTATACATCTAGTCCAGTAAACCCTGTAAATCAATCCCTATAGTCCTGTGTGTTTTTAAACCTCTGTAACATTTTCTGTTGTCAAATCTTTTGCTAAAAATAAAAGTATTTCAAATTTTAAAATATTTTACTTGCATATAAGAATGGAAGACGGGTTCTGTTGGGCTCAAATTTTCTATGGCTGGCATCTGACTCAGACCAAATATGTGAATGTGTGTACACGAACTTGTGTACATGTGTAATAATTTCAGCAAGTTTGGAAAATGAGGGGCAGAGGGGGGATGCTGTGCCCAGATTAAAATTCTTCTCACAAACATTTGTGAAACTCTAGTGCCTATGTGGTCTGGAGCAACGCCATGAAAATTGGCAAGGTGGTCACTCTGATGTCAAAGATGTGCCTTTTACTGCTCCTGTGAAAAAAAAAAAAAAAATCCCAAATCTGGCCAAGTTATAAACTTTTGAAAAAATAATCTCAGTTTTCACATATTTAGCAGAGTCTTGGCAGGTCATTCTTCGGAAAGGTTTGTCAGCACCAAACCTGCTCCACCAGTTGCTGCTTCTAGAAGCTGCCCAGGCCAGGCAGGCTCATGTCCCCTCGCTTGACCAGGGCTGTTTCCCAAACCGGGGAGCTGAGCACACCCTTGCAGCCGTGGTGGGCTCCTTCCCATCCCTCCTGAGCAGGGACGGGACTGGAGTGTCAGAGGGAAGATGGGGACGTGCTGGGCAGGGAGCATCCCAGAAGGGCCGGGTGATGGGAGCAGGCTGTGCTGGCTCAGGAGCCCGAACCAGGCACCAGCACAGCCAGGTGAGGCAGGGAGAAATGCGCTGCTGCAATTCTGACTTCTATCTGATCGATTTGTACGGAAACACAGTGTTTAGCCTGGTGCAAATCCAAGAAGTGTTTGGCCTCGTCTTTTTTGAAGGCCTCCTTGCATTTGTGAACCAGCTTGATTCTGTTATCTTCCCAGCAAGACACGTTTCTTTTCAAAGAGCGGGGAGCGGGGGGTGTACAGGAGAAACCCTCGTGCCAGGAGATCAGTGCATTGCACAGAGTCTGTGCAGGAGCCTGCCCTGTGTTTCAAGCTGTACCACTGCGGTGTCATGAATTTTCCTTGAACAGACAGGGGTGTTTTATAGTTTTGACAATGCTGAGATTAAAATTTCAAAACCGGTTTCATTTTTATTTATTATTTCAAGCAAGAACATAGAGTGCTGTGAACAATCTCCTTTTCTTGCTTGCTTCAGACCCTCCTGACCTCTCAAGATAAACTTCACCAGGTGCCCAATGGTACCAAGCCTACTTTTCAAATAAACAGTACTGAAATATGTGAAGGGCAGCTGAATGCAGAGGAGATGTGATTTTGTTTAGCATACCACTGTGGGATGTCCCTGCCTACTAGCAGAAGGTTTCCAATGCTGGAGCAACATGGTTCGAGGGCACTTCCTACTTATTTTAAAAAAATTATTCTGAATCCCGTAAGAACTATTTTCTTGAAGAACTAAGACTTCATTATGACTTCATCTTCTGCTCCAAGCAGTTACTAGTCCCACTCAAAGCTGTAACTGTGGCCAAATGACAAGAATCCTGCATACAAGCTGGGAGATGTTGTCTTTGAACAACTAAATGAGAGACTTCACGAGGACTCTGAGAACAGCAGTTCGGTCCTTACAGTCCTCTGTGATTTAGGGCAATTAGAGCAGGCTTTCCTCCCCCCTGAGACATCAGTTGTCATTTCTGTTTTCAGATTTCTGGTTCCTCAGGATCAAGGCTGGCTTCCTTTGCATGGTCAACACTTCCAATTGCCAAGCAGGAACGCGATTCTTGTACTGAAATGTCTAGGAGAAATAAAACTCCCCAGTGGACACAGTTACATGTAAGGCTACTTCCCAATGGTACAGTTTCCACTGTGTAAACAAGCCTTGCCTAAATATTCTGAAACATAAACTGCTGGCACTGCGCCCATGCTAGAAAGGCGATGGTACATTGTTTGGCTGTACAGAGCAGCATAAACAACTCAATTAATCATAGTGGACAAGGCTTTACTGTATATTTGTGTAATGCCTAGGACAATGTGATCTTGGTGCTGACTGGGGCTTCCAGGCACGGCTATAGTACATGTATAAATAATTTATATATTTATCTATCTATAGAAAATAAAAATTATAGATATACATATATATAAAAAAAAATCTGAGTAGAACCAGCAGCTTTTTATGTTTGCTTTCCATGAGCAATAGACCCGTTGACCTTTACTAACATGATGCAGTTGAGAAATGTAACATAAGTGCCAGGTTTGGCAAGGGAATTCTGCATCAGATAAATCTGACTCTGAGCCTGGTTGTTCTCTCGGGTCACGTCCACAGCGTGCGTCACCGGCCCGTGAGACGGGGATGTATTTTCTGATGCTGTGATTTACTCAGAAGCATTTTGTTCACAGAAAATGAAATTAAGTCTGAGGAGTAAGGGTTTTGCGATGAATTATTCACCTTGAGAAAGTGGTAGCATTTAACTGCTGTATTTTATTGACCTATATAGCACATCTCATGGGTCCCCAAACACGCTGTGGTATTACAAATTAGGGGTCTCTGCAGATGCTCCTAAAATACTGCTAGAAAATGTCACCAACAAGGATATAATATCATTCATCACCAAAATGAATGTGCCAGCTGAGGTGTAAACTAGCAGCTTTTTTTAAGAGTAGCATGAAAACACCTGCTTAAGGAAGTAGGATGCCATTTCTCTCAGAGCCACATACTATTTTAGGTGGCCAGATCTTATTTGTTTTATTAGAAAGTGGCATTAGTACGGCATTTTACCAGCCATGTTCTGAATGTACCAGTCATTAGCATCAATAAATTATGCTTGTGATCTAGTATGTTTTAAAGAAACACTAAAATACCTCCTAAAACTGTTTGGAAGGTTGTAGGATGTTTTTTTAAAGAAAAGGGAAGCCAGACAACATCACTGACTATTTGATTTTTCAATTGACATTAAACACTTCATTCCATTTTGTTCCTTGGGAAAAAAAAAATCTCCTTCTTGGGCCAGTGCCAACTAAATCAGCATGTTTTTGGTCTGCCCTCCTTATGCCAGCTAGCAAGATCTGAGTCACCGTGAGGCAACCAAGTGGCAGTTTGCTAGAGATCCAGGAACAATGATACTTTAATTTCTATGTATACAAGCATATGCATAATGCTTATTACACATGGGCATATCAAACTGTTTAAAGTGTGGCTTAGTTTTTAGAAATAACACAATATTGCCTATTAATCATTGTCCTTGGAAGTTCTTTCATCAGTTTGCAGGACCTCTTCTGCTGTGAATGCCAGCAATAGTGATTTCACAAGCTGGGATGATGAAGACAAACATTAAATGCTGTTTGCAACTACATTGGTCGTTGATTAAAAAAAATAAATCCTCATGGAGTCACAAGAACTCTGTCTGCAATCAATCACCCTGCTTATCCAGCAAGTCACTCTATAATGCCCTGGAAAAGCACTTCTATGGAGCTGTAATCCAGAATGGAGAACTGGAAATCTGTCCTTCTCGAAGCTGGCTGCCTGTCACGGTACCAGGCAGCACCCTGCCCGCCGGCTGCACCCACGGCGGGGGGACGTGGCCGGCAGGACCACGGCTGTGAATGTGCCTCCTTCCACGGCTGACACGCTACGGCCACCACCACCCCCCTACCTAGCTAATCAAACGAGTCGTGTCCTAGAGCGTAAGTCCATACCCTGTGTCTCAAACACATTCTTGAGCTAATTGCGCTCCCTCTGGGATAGGAAAGATGGTTTTGTCACATCTGATGTGCTGCAGTCCCTAACGCAATATAATCTAACTAATTAAAATAGAGGCTTGAGTGGAATGATCTCCACTTCATACCAACTCGAAACGAGATTCCTCAATGAAATCCCTTTAAAGAAACTTTCATAATTTTCTTGTATCATGCTGAGGTAGGGTTTGGGGAGCTTTGTGTTGGTTCTGTATAATTTAGACGGGATGTATTTCATGAAGCAACTGCTTCCTTCCATGATTACTGAATCACACTGTATTTGTACGGGGCTCTGTGAAATTTCAGCCAAAGCACTGAGGCGTCTAAGATGTGCAGCACCACAATGAGTAGGGAGGATACAGGCAATTCTTTTCTACCCAGAAAAAATGTCCTAAGACTCTAGAGAGTGCTTACCTGTACACCGTATTTTCTCTATGTAGGTCTTCTAAGCCACAAAGGATCTCTGCTGCATAAAACAAAGCTCTTTCCTCCTCAAAGCCTGGATTTCCCATGTTGTAGATATGAAACTTCAGGTCACCTCCATTCATTATGGTCAGAACTAAACACAGTGCATCCTTTGTTTCATAGGCATAGGCTAAATTGACCTAGAAAAACATTTGTAGCATAGTTGTGACAGTTCAGTTGGCTGCTAAGAAGAAAGTACGAACTTTTTGTTAAAGATTTTCTCTAGGAAAGAAAAAATTTTAAAAGTACAGAAAAATCAGATGATAGGATTTCATAGATTCTTTTGTTGAATCCAGCCTTCCCATCGCCAGAAACCCTCAAGGTTAATGCTCACATAGCTTCACATACTAATTCCAGCCACACTTTTCCACGTAAGAGAAATCTTAATAATAAGGGAAATCTACATCTCCCACTGCACTGTTTTGCTGGATTGCTGTCAAAAAACTATCATGTCAGTAGGTTCCCAGGAAGGCCCAGATAGCCCGGTCCTGTGGTGGTCAAGCAGACCATCACAGAGGCATGAAGGTGAGCACCACCCTGCGAGGCTCTGGTGGGTGCCCCAGGAACACTGAGACAAGCCAGAAGCTACCCATCACACTTAAACATGTGCCATCATCTTTGCTTCTGCCAGAGATAAGTAAACATCTTGCATCTGTTGTATTCACAGTGTTTCCTAAAATAAGTATAAAGAACATGACAGATGCTGAGATAACAATGCTTTTTAAAAAAAAAATCTAAGGTGAATTCTTAAAGAGACACAAGAGCTGGCACAACTCAGGGAAAGCCCTACATCAGGCAGATTGGCTTCACATCACCGGCTAGATGCTTCTACTAGCCAGTCTCTTCTGATCTATTTGGGTTTAATCTCCTTCAGCCTCCTCCAAGCTCCTGTCTCTCAGACATTGGGAATTCAGGTAATCACGCTGGATATAAATAGCTAAGCCTCATGCAGGCCTGATGCAAGTCAAGGCTGGAAAATGCATCATGTTCCCATGGTAGGAACAGGCACCTTGGCTGGTGCATTTCTCACAGACCAGAGACTAAAGTAAGACTCAGCAAAGGTGCATGGAGCAGGATGAAGGTGCAAAGCAAAGGGAACCATCTTCTGGCACCTTTCCTGGAGCAGGAGTTGGAAGAGACATCGGATTCAACAAGAACAGTGCTCAGCAGGTGAGCAGGGAGCTGAGCGCTAGGGAGTTCAATACTCACTACAAACTGACTATTGACTTTTTCTAAAATCTGCTTTTCATTTAGTGCCATGGATTCGCCTTTCCTCTTTTTTATTCTCTTCTTCTCTAATCTCTTGCAGGCGTACATCTTCCCTGTCGCTCGGACTTGGCAAGCGCAGACCTGTGAATTAAAGAGAACAATTGCTGGGTAAATCGAAGCAAACGCTGCGTCTGGGTTGCACTTTACTCCTCACAATCTGATCTGATTTAGTCCTTTTAAGGTTAGAGACGGCAGCGTAGCAAATAAAGCATAGGCGGGGGCAGCTGGGGAACCAACTACTGTTTCCAAACCTGCTGTGTAATACTGGTTTAATTATTTCACTTTCCTCCGCCTGCTTCCTATCCCACCTCCTTTTGTCTGTGAAGATTGTAATCTGCTCAGCTCAAGCCTGTCCGCGCCTCCTCGGACTCTGCTGCCTAGGCAGCAACCCCGAGCCATCAGTAAAATACAAATAAGGGTGTGACCCTAATTCCACTGTGAAAGCAACAGTCGGAATACAAAATAATTCTCAAAAGTGTTCTAAGATTACGGTGTCATGAGAGGTTAAGTAAAACTGTCAGCAATTAATGAAAATCAGCCTCTGTCACATCAGTCTCCTGTAACCTGCAGTGCCTGAGAAGTAAGAAACACTCTTAACAGAAACTTTCAGAATTACTCACCTCCCCAAAGCCGCCTTTCCCTAGTACCCTGTACTGCCGAAACGTGTTTTTCGTTACTGGTTGCCTGGAAGAAAAGGAAATTAAAAAAAAAAAAAAAAAAAAGACACACTACATTTAATGCACTCTCCGTGATTTATTTATTTCAGAGCATACTTTTGAAAAGCAAAATAGATAAATATTATGTAATCACATTATTTCAAGGTAATCATATTATATAATATAATATATAATTATGTAATTACATTACTTCAATACTATGTATGGCTTGAACTTTTCAATTCCAACATATTAAGCTGTAATAAAATACAACACATTAGTGAGTCATCAGGATAATTTCTGCTAGCATCTTAAGACCAAGGAGAGTTCTGAATCTCCATTACATGGCTTTGGCCTTTTTTAAGCAAAGAGGAGGCCTGAGAGCTTCCAACAAGACATTCATTACATATCACACATGATATATAGGAATTGTTAAAGGGTAGTGCTGCGCTAACACTTTATTGCTTTGCTTGGTCGTCAAGATGAGAAAGAGAGATCCAAAATTCAGTCCACCAGAAAATACTTCTGGTATCTTGACCTTAAACAGAACAGCAAACTGATGTGAAACAAGGCAAGAACCAATCCCAGGAACTGGAGATGTGGGTTTAGGTGCCGTTCCCAGGAGGGCAGAGCAAGAAGCTGAGCTCCAAGCCTATGCTGCTCTGCCTGGGGTACCTGCCTCCCGGGAGAGCATCACGGGCAAGGAGGGAGGAGAAGCATCTCTTTCCTTTCAAGGGCCAATTTAAGGGTTAAATAATTTGGTCTTTCTGAGGGCATCGTGCTCCCTAATGATCACTAGACACGATCACTGTATGATCTCACAGGATTCCCACAAAATTCTGCTCCACCAAAATGGCTCCAGCCCTACATCTAACTTATTTTTTGTTGCCGCTGAAGTTTCAGAATGCAACAGAAGAAAAACTCTAGATTCAGAGAGATCAGATTTTGTATCCACCACCCCATCACCGAAGTTTTACACTTATATTAGCAGTGGATATGAATATTCCTACCAGCTTTATTCTCCTCTGGCAGGCAGCCAGCCGGCAGAGGGAGCACAATAACGTGGTTGTTCCCACAACAGTGATGATGAGGTTGATGACAATAAGGAATAAATGTTAAAGTGAATTGTTTCATTTACGTTTATGATAGTTTTTAAAAGTGGGGGAAGAAAAATATGCAGAAAGCCAAAACTAGAACAGGAAAAGCTGCTATTTTCAGGCTTCTGTGAAGGTACTGCAAATGCTATTGGAGTGAAAAGCAACAGTTAGCAGTGATCACTACATGCTCAGCTATGTCCCGGGAATAAATGGACAGTATGACTCCTCCACTGGAGCCAGCAGGCTGTCAAAAGGAGCTGCTGATCACTCTGTGCAACTAACATCTCTTTGCTAATCCTAAAAACGGTTCTCCCCGATCCTTAAGCCGGGAATATCCAATTAGCTTGTCACATTTGGTGGGGGAATGGGAAAAAGAAAATCCTCAAAGCATTTCAGAAAATTCCTTATCCCAAATGGGAAAATAGATAGGAAATAGCCTGGCTAGAGATGAATCATCTGATGTTTTTTTTTTAATTGAAATGGCAGAGTAAATGCTGGATTCAGTAAAGATGGCATGTGGAGCTTGTCTTGGCATGAAATAGCTCTCCCCTCTACCCACCGCTTCCCTTCCCTCTTGTGCAGCCGCTTTGTAGCCTTCCAGGGAGAGGAACTGGCACAGCTCCTTTGATCTCTGAGACTTCACGCTGATACACACCGCTCATGGATCTGGCCCTCACTCATCTGATGTAATTAATTCCACTTGTGGAAACCAGGGCTTCTCTCAACTCAAGGTCACTGTTACCCAGCAGCGTACATCTGCTACAGCCCTCACCAACAAGGAGAAGGCAAAGGCTTCTTTCCTTGCAAATTAGTACCCACTAAGGCTGCCTGGTCATTCAGTGTGCTCAAAAACGTCTAGCCAGTAAACATGGTGTGAGGACCTATATGCCATATTCTTGTATGTTTATAGCGATTTAATTATAGTGACAGCTAGTCCAGGCAAGAAGTCACCATATTCAGAGTGCAGCTAAACAGAAAGACAACTGAAGTTGCTGAATGTACTTTAATTATACCTAATGTGCCTAATGTACCCCATACCATTAAATGGCTGAACAGTTGAGCTTTAGAAGCCAAAACTGTCTCCCTGGTGGTCTGAGGTGGATTTCTGTTTTATTCTTTACTTGCCTAGCGAGCAGCATCTGTTTCGGTCTTGCTTGGGCATGGTGTTTGCAAATGCAAAAGCCAGACTGGATGTGTGTCTTACCTTTAGCATTACAGATGTGCCAGGGTAGGTTATAAAAAAAGTGCAATGTGTCCTTCAACTGTGCCACTGAGCAGCTCGTGGTGACAGGGCCTACAGTGCAATCGGCCACAGACATTTCTCAGATCACAGGAGATTTGGGTTCCTAATTTTTATAGGCTGTGGGGTTTTTTCTTATTCACTTGCTGTGCACAAGCATACTGTGCAAAAAAGGTGCCCAAGCCGGCTGCTGGAGTGTGTCACCTTCTTATGGAGAGAAGGGAGTGGCTGAGGAGTATTTATGGGTGTCAGCACAGCCATGAAGGATGAAGGAGCACTGTCGCTATCCCAAACAGCAATTTTGCTCGTTGGATGGTCACAGCTGGAGACTTAGCTCGTGGTTAAACTGAGTTTAATTCCAGCATAACCATGACTTTTCTATATGGCATCTTCCCGTGGCTAAAGCTTTTACTTCTTCTGTAGCCCTCTAACAATGAACACTTAAAAATAAATGCTAAAATTGGGAAAGCCTTCCTGGAACTCGCTGGGAGAGCTTCCCTGGAGTACAGCGCAGGGAAATGGGGAATGAGCCTTGATGGACCTTCCTGAAGGAGAACAGTGCAAAGAGGGGGAGAACTGCTGCACAGAGGGCCATAAATGGCAAACATTGGGATGAGGCACTGGTAACACTGAAGAAAGGCCAAACTGTCTTTATCTTGAAGGCAAAGGGAGCAAACATACTATCTCAGTTGGCAGATTTTGAGGGTATTCTACAGACTTTGCATGGATAGTGAAAATAAACATTTTGTATTAATTTTTAATTAAAAAAAAAAAAAAGTGACACTTACCTTTCCAACCATTTCCACTGGAGAAACCTGTCGAAGTACATGCTGTTTAGGTATTCTTGGAATGGTTCCCCACTGAGGTGGTCAAGGACAGATCTATCTCAGATGAAAAGGATATATAAGTATTTTATAATCCTGAACTTGGAGCAAAAGAGAAACAAAACAAGAGGAGAAAATCCAGACTTCTTGTACGGTAGAATAATTTTACTTCTACTTTATTTTGTACTTTATGTTACTCAGAGTTTCAATCGAAGAACAGAGTGATATGTCTGATGTATTTCATAACGGGAGACCTTATACAAGCTGAAGAGTAATATGTACTGATTGTGCCTGCTCAAAATTAACAGGGCATCTCTGACTGGTTTCAATGGACTTTTACAAAGGCTTTTAGTCACTAGACAGCAAATGTCTTTGCTTCTGTTAGTAAATTAACACAACACCCTCAGAACCGAGCTCCTAAACTTTGGGGGATGTTTACACCTGGATTGAAAATTTCTGTCTAAAGTCCATTTCTGTCTAAGAGGGACCATGAGAAATTTTATTTTGAGCAAAAAAAAAATCAATTTCAAGTCCTGCTATACAGAAGAAGTAGTAACTGTGGTTTAAGTCAGAGGGCTTTTCCTAACAGCTATGTGATTTATAGGGTAAAACAGGGGAAACAAAGTTTGATTTGTTTCTGGATCAGGAGAAGAATTTTGGGGGTCACGCAGTGGATGCAAAGTTTTTTTATAATCAAAGGCATAAAGGAATAAAAAGGCCAGTCTGCAAATGTGAGAAATAAGTATGTTGCTTGTGACAGGCAAGAAAAGATGGGCTGAGCTGAGAGAAGCTGCCCGAGATGGTCACGTTGTTTAACAAGGGAGTGGTTGACCTGCTGGTTTTGGTTCTTGCTTTGCTTACTGGGGCTAGTGCGTCCACCTCTGCTGGCAACATTGGTGGGGGTGAAAAACGCCCACAAGAAATTAGTATTTCTGTCTTGGTGTATACAGACAGTTTTGTGTCTTTATCTAAGGGTATACAGACACACTTCCAGATTTTGCTGGAGGAGGAAATCCTCTCTGAAGGATTACATTACTCTGGTTTGGGAATTGATAATCTATGTCTCACCCTGGGGCAGTTCTAGACCTGAGCAAACAACCACCATGAATAACATGTCCCCTCAGTTTAGTTCCTCCCTGTTCATGAGCTACCATTCATAAGTTTTTTTTTAATTTCTCAGTTGTTTGAAATTTTTTTTTTTCTTTTCAATTCTTGCACCATCAATTTGGAACATGCCGGTAATTGCACATATTCAGAAGTCAATTTGTTGTTGTCTTCATTAGCTTTGATTGGACACAGATCATACTGTTTCCCCTAACCGGATTCAAGCTTACAAAATGAAATAAAACAAAAAGTAAGTCTTAATGAGCTTTAACAAATGGACAAATTCAAAGCCAAAATTATAGGGGAAATTGGAGGGTGGCAGGAGCAGTCAGTCAAAATATTAAATGTCAAAGCAGAAGTTAAGAGTTATACATGCATTTCTCCCACAGATTGATTTTATCCATGAAGACATGTCTGAAACTCATCCCCGTTCCTGCTCCTACAGGATAGCAAGCTTCACATTTGTATGTATGCCTCCCTTTCTTGGTCTGACTGTGAACTCTTCCAAAATTAACATTATTCAGTACATTTAGTAAATACCAACAGCAGGTTTTTAAAACTTCCTTTTGACCCCATTTCAGTCCATGTGAAATGATCAGCATATTTATTAACAAGGTCTCAAACTTGGCTCGTTTATCTGTTTCAGTTGAGATGAAGGAATGGCTGTTGGTGAGTATGAGCCTGAATTAAGTGGTGTCCAACACTAGCCTATTCCATTCAGTTAATTAAAAGCTGCACGTATTCTGAAGAACAATAGCTGCCTTTCAGCAGTTGTTTGCTTTTTAGTTCCCCTCTTTGGCAACAACAAAGTGCATTTTAGAGGGAACTGTCAGCTTTCAAAGCGATTTGAGAACTGGAAACAGGCATCAGGGGGGTTTGTGTCGAGCACAGCTCTGCCTTTGTCATTGGGACTGGCACACACAACTGGTGCGAGTTATACGAGCATCTCTCCATGACACCAGGCCAATGCAAGGGAACTGGTTATGTTATAAGAGAAGGCCAGAAATAACCCGCATCTCCTACCAACGCAAAGAATAACTGAAAACAGAAAAGGTCAATGAAATGAGTCAAAACAATGAATGACAGCAGAGCAAATTTTACAAATCCCCATTACATCATCCAGGGAAAACAAACCGTGCTCAGCCAGAAACCACATGGGCCAGCTTGTGATGATCCCTCCTTTTCATATTTTTATTGGTTTATGATCTACTGGCGTGAACGTACTCGGGTCAGTGTTTGCAAATGCAGATTGCATACCTGGAGCTTTAGAGCATAATAGTACAAATCGCCCCACCGCTACAAAAACTGATAAGCCTTGTCCCAGACAAAGGATGAAATAACACACGTTCATTTGAACACCACAGACAGACAGAAAGAATTAAAAAAGCCCCATTCTCCTGGTGAAGATTTTCTGGAAAAGCCATGCGGAACAAGTTTGCACATTCCTCTGTCTAAATGGACTGTATAGCCACTTAATTTTTATTCACTTTGAAACAGAGATGTTTTCTTTGGATACATTATCATTGTAGCTCTTTTCACACAGCATGAAATCCATGGCTGGTTTACTTGGCTAGAACACTCTGTCAAATACCTGAAACACTAAGTGCCTGTGTGTAGTGTATATAATGGCATGGAAATATTTTTTATATTTTGTTCAGATGAAACGACTTCACCGCTTGTCAGCTATGTCTCTAGGATTATGAACATAAGCCGAAGATACACGCTTCAGGTTCAAACTGAAATGTCTCTCTTTACCTGACACATTCCTTACAGGCTGCTGACTGCAGCCCCGAGATCTTTGGGGATCGAGTTATACTTACTTTGTACAGTGAGAGAATAGCTCTTTGCAGGGGCTGTTTTTGAGTTTCTCCTCTGTCTGTCGGATAAGATCTTGACTGACTTCGGGAACGCAGGCTGGAGACTGGGGAGAGAAGAGAGAGGCACATTATCTCTGTGACGAGGTGCAGATTCTCCTCTCTTAATGTGTAAAAGACACATTCATTATTTATGCCCTGAGCTGCTTCCATTCAATTCCAGTGGTTGTGTAAAAGCAAAGGAGCTTTACGTCAAACAGCAGTAAAATAGGGTACCGTGGTAACTCACTCCACATTCCGCTCTATCCTCACACTGCTTTTCTGCCTCCTCCTGTACCTCCACCTCCTTGCCCAGCCTCATGAATATGCAGGACCCACTCCTTGCCAATTCTTTGAACTGCTCCCTTGCATCCCATGAAAAATGTGCTGGCCTGAACTGCGTACAGGCCATTCTCTTAAACAAAAGAGAATTTGCCCAGTGTTTTCACTTCATTGATGATTCATTGTGCCGTCTGAAAAATCCATCTTTTTAAATTTTTTTTTTTTTTTCACCAGCAAAGGAAAACAAGAGCACAGTATTGGTATTTATTGATTTATATATAAATATTATAAAAGATGCTCACAAAAGTGTCTGGACATCTTAATTCATCATTAGAAGGGCAAAAATAATCGAGCAGTTTAAAAATAATCATTTCAAAAAGGAACTCTGCCAGCCTAGCACATAAACTCTTTTCATCCTCTCCTCCCTTTAGAGAGAATGTACATTCATCCCCTTCAAAACGCCCTTACCAAAGAGAGGTCTTTCGCAGTATGCCTTGATGGTTAACCAGTTTAGGACCTTTGGGACTAATTATCTATAAAGACAGTTTTTAGGCAGTCCACATTCTTACTCATTGACAGTATACTGTAATTATATAAAAAAGTGTATATGCATGTGTGTGTGCACCTATTTATAGTCGTTTCTCCCATTGACATGAAAGCCCCTTTATATAACCAATTGGATTTGGGTATTTTCAATAAATCCAGGCATAGATGACAAAATCCTCTTTCCTTGCAGAAGCCTTAACACTCAGTAAGGTTCCCCAGCCATGACCACGACCACCAGATGTGCTGAGTGGGTGGGTCACAGAGCATCATCACTCATTCCTGGCCAGATGTTCTCATTAACTCACCCTTAGTTGGGGATATCTTGGCAAGCACTGAAATGCATTGCAGGCAGAGTTCAAAAACACTGGGAATGAGGACAGAGGAAGGGGCAGAGGTGGAGCCAGAGAAAATCTCCAGCATGGTGAAAGCTGAATTAAGTCTTTTATCTCTTCCTTCCCACTGCTGAAATGTGAATATGAACCTGGTTGCGACATGAAAAAGTAAGTTTGTTCCACTTGAATGTTTTTAAATAGGAACATGGTTTACAGAACTGTCTGTGCATGCTGCATAATGCAGTCTCACTATTCAACCTTGACAGATAATCTGCAGAACATGCTGGATATCTTTGACCTCACTGAAATATTTCCTCATTTCCTCCATACATTACTCCATTTCCCCAGCAAAAGATATCTAGGGAACACCCACTTTTAATTGCAGACAGAGCGTATTGCTAATAATTAAGAAATCTCACAGTTTCTTAAGAAGTAGATGAGCCTCCACATTATCATCTAAAAGATGAAGAGACGAAGACAAAGCCAGATTTTCTCAGCTTGATTGTCCACTGAGGTTGACAGAAGCTGAGAACTATAGAACAAGTCTCAGTAAAACAGAGAACACACAGAAATTCCTAACTGTAGATGCCCATGACTAAATCTAAGTCCCAGTTTTAGCTCATGAGAGTAAGTAGAGGCAAGAGTGAAGCAGTGAAAGAACTAGGAAAAAGCTCAAAAGTCCTGTTGTCCAGTCCTACAGCTGCTGGGGGGAAAAAAGAAAAAAAAAAAAAAGGCTTTTAAAGGAATATTCAGATAGGAACCAAAGCCTAATGATTAGCAGTATTTCAGCTGATTTTGGCTAGGAGCCATACAAATTAATACATGTACTTTATAGTCTGCACACTCAACAGGGTGTGTACGCAAGCTCAACAGCAGCCCAAAGCTTGTACGTGGCTGCCCAAGTCCACCTCTCAGAGACCTGGCTATCTTGAACATCTATCTCTCTGATTTATAGGGTACAGAAACACCACCGAACTCCATAGTCTTTGTGCAGCTGTGAATCAGGAGTGTCTTCTGACATGAATGGAGTTGCATTTAAACTGATAACTAGGGCCTCTAATTGAAGTCACTATTAATTCAATCTCAGACTTATTCTATATTTATAGGCCAAAATTGGGATCCAAAAGCTTAGTACTAAACCCCATCATTAGTCATTTAGACCAAGTGACCTGATTCTTACTCTCATCAAGCAGCTTCATTTCCCATTGGGAATTCATTTCCAAATGGGATGTAACCTGCCTTGAGGTTAGTGTTGAAGATCAAGCCCATGATGCATTACTATAGCAATAATTTCATCAAATTTTGTCTGAGATCAAAGTACCTTAAAAAAAAAATTGTAAGTATCAGCTAACTCGATTTCATAAAGAAGAAATGAAATTCTTAAAGGGAAAGGGGAGAAGAATGAGCAAAAGAAACTGTAGGACAATGTGGGAAGTATTAAAAAATGGCACAAACTGTGATTCCTCTCTCCAGGTTCGTGGGAGATACAGTCACCACTTTTTTTTTAAAACCACTCATTGCTGACCATTGAATCTTTGCTTCTTTTGAACAGACTGAGAGCAAGCTAACAATATCAAGGTAGGTAAAGACAAACAGGCTGACATCCTGTACATGGACTAAAGCCTTGCAGTGTAGTGCGAACACTTTACTAGCCGACTTCATTTTCTGTAACAAAAAACCAGTTTTTTTCCACAGGTTGATGATTTCCAAAGGTTTTGTAGGCCCAGCAAAACACTTTATGTCACTATGCAGCCCTTCATAGTGTTCAGGGCAGAGCTGTACCACATGTATGGGAGGAACACATCCAACCCTTTCCAACTCTGCACGCAGTTCGAGGGAGTCTCTGTATGATCCTTCCTGAGATTTTCCTTGAGACTTCCCACTGCTCCCATTAAATAACCATGACTGCCACTTTCTCTGTTTGAGTACTGTGCACACCTACAGCCTTCAAATGTTCAAAGAAAGCCAGAAACAATTACAAGCCAAAACCCAACCCACCAACCTACTTTTGCTCCCCTGGAGAACAATTAGGCAGCACAGGTTATGAGTGCAAGAAAGCATTTGGATCCCAAGAGTGAAAGCTTCCAAAGGTAACACTTCGGCCATTTACAGAAGAAAAACTTGCTTCTTCCCTGGAGAGGTGCAAAAAATGTCTGCAGCCCTGATGAAATGGTTATTAACACTGTTCCCCCTCTGCATTATGGGTAATGGCTGTAAAAGCAAATTCAGCTTTTACAGGGAAACAGAGACACCTTTTCCAACATATTAAATGTCCTGCGACAGCTAGGAGAGACATACACACCATGATTAAGACCATTCCATCTGAGCATGTGACAAAGAATATTCTGCGAACTCTTCAGAAACACCTGCAGAAACCTGTTTTAACAAGTACAGTCTTATATTTCCCCTAATGGCTCTTCTGTTTCCTGAAGGCAAAGAAAGTGATTTGTGATCTCACTTACGATAATGTAAATCAGAAATGATAGCAGTCAAGTCAACAGAGTAACACTAGGGTAAAGCCGATGGAACCAAAATCAGATTCATGGCCCAAGACTCTGGTAGTGTAAAATGTACTTAAATTGATCCAACAACAAAAATTTCTCTCATCACGTTATCTTTTTTGACCAAGCAGTTTAATGAAATCCAGAAGTCCAAACTACTTTCACCAGGTTTTAATCAAAATCTTCTGTCTCCTGTATCTTCTCATTTGTAGCTAGAAACTGAAAACCTTTGTATAAATTATTTTGCTGGCAAAGCAACGTCCCAGTTTTATGATGCCCTCTTGTTTAATTTTTAAGAAAAGAATGCAAATAGGAATTGGATTAGTGATTATTTGAGAAACAAGAAATGGATATTCAGTTACTTCTGAGTGCCATTAACACACTCTGAGAAAAATGTCTCCACTTCTAAATTTTGTTTTTCGAGTTTAAAAGACAAAAGAGATCTTCCCAGCTCCTCTTCCATTTCAGTAAATGGCAGGCAAACAGCTGAGATGTCACATGCTCGTTCAAGGTTAGTTGTGTTTGCACCCACCAAAATTTAGAGATCGCTGTTCCTTCCCAACTGAGCCTCTGGGCCTGCAAGATCCTTTTCATCTTTTGCTGAGAGGTTGATTGTGGCTTCTCCCCCTTCCTCTCCTGTTCACTACGATACAACCACCGATAAACAGCACGGTGACTAGGTTTGAAGCTAGATGCAATAGCACCCATAAATCCCAGGTTCTTGGTGGGAGCTAAGAGCATCACAAGCTGAATGCAGCCTGGTCCTTCCTGCACTACCCCAGCTGCCCTGGCAGCCCAAATGCCAGGAGACCTCTGCCAGGCAGCTGTGCCCATGCTGCATCTGCTACTGCCCATGTCCCAGCACCTGGCACCCCACTGAAGTGCTGAAAAGAAGCAAAATCCGATTCAGATCACATGAAAGCTTTCAGGCTATGCAACTCCCTATTATCTGTTATTTTGAATGTCACGTTGCATCACTATACTTTGAAACGTAAACTCTTCTTTTTTGACAGCTCTGTAAGTTTTGCTACAGGCTACTTCACTCAGCTGTTCAAGACACAGTATTTGTTGACCTTCACTGAACAGGACAGCAAACAAATAAGCTTTCTCATAAAATCATCTCTATACATTTGCCATGGTACTTCCATCATTCTTCATCCTTACACAGTGCCTTTCATCTAAGAACCTTGAAACATTAAAGCTTCATCACACGATCTAGGTGGCAATCTCACAGTATTTTACAGAACAGTGAACAGGGAAGTTAGGAGTTGTGTTTTGAAGAAGAGTTGATCATCACCTGTGACTGAAATCAGAGAAGTCTCACCGAGATAAATGAAAGCTAGAGGTGCTCAGATTTCTCAAATCAGTCCATCTGTAGTTTGAAATTAGTGCATAAGGAACAGAAACCTAGAAATACAGGCTTTCATTTTATACCAGTTCTTGCCAGTGGATGTGAATCATCATGGTATCTTAAAGCAAGACTGTTCATCAGTGCAAAAATTATATGAATCAGAAAGATACCACACTCTTTATATTGAATAGACTTCATGCAAACTTTTTTCATAAACACAACTGCTTTCCTGGCAAGTTTCAGACATGCAGCCACGATACTGAAACACAATGAGTTATTTTAAAAGTTGCTTGC